CACGCTTGATACGCTTGCGCAGGTCCCTGAGGCTATGCAGGCTGCTGCGAAGCAGTATGCTGAGAGCGCCACTGGGCCTTTGAGTTGTGTTGCTAGTATGCAGGGATTCTTCCCTGCGAAGAAGGTGCTCTCGGAAGAGGAGTTTGAGGGTGTTTTGAAGAGTATTCGGGATGTGGTGCCGACTAGTGCTTTCCATGAGAAGCAGCTCAAGCAGATTATTGCGCATCTGGAGAGTGATCATTCGGCTAATTTGCAGGTTGTTCTTGTGCCTGCTACCATGACACTCGAGGGCCTTCAGCATCAGAGTAAGCTTCTTGCGCCTAGGGCTGCGGATAAGCCTGCTGGGTTTACTTTTGCTCTATGTTTGCAATACCCGGTTGCAAGGGGGTCTATTCATATTGACAGTGCTGGTATGCTATTCCTTTCCTTTCCTTTCCCCTGTGCAAATTTGCATACTGATTATTACAGATCCAACTAAACCCCCTGTCATCAATCCCAACTACGGCGGTCATGAGGCAGATATCTCGGTTCTTGCCGCTGCACTCCGCTGGAGCGACAAAGTCACTGAATCCTCGCATCTCAAGCAATCCATCCTTGGCCGTACATATCCCGAGCCGGAAGTGGATTTGCAAGACTTTGATACTGCCAGACAGGCAATTCATGAGCTTATTGCCGGCGAGTACCATATCTGTGGCTCGGTTGCGTTGGGTGATGCGCTTGATTCTAGATTGAGGGTCAAGGGCGTTGAGGGACTTCGAGTTGCTGATGCGTCGGTGTTCCCTAACAATGTTAGTGGAAATATTGTTTCTAGTGTTTATGCTGTTGCTGAGAAGGCGGCGGATTTGATTCGAGAGGATTGGGATTTCAGGGCTGTTGGGAAGGCTGTGGCTTGATTATATGCATTATTATGTAGTTGCTTTGGGTTTCAGTAAGAACTGCTAAATTAAACATTGGTTTATGACTTGATATCTCCATGTGTATACTGACGGACAGTTCCGATGACTATTCTGGCCTAGTTAGACTCTTATCTATGGGTCCAGACACCTTGAGACCTAAGATTGAGATGCATCCATATACACAGAATGGGGATTACAAAATGGCTCAAATCCAATTAACATATAAACATACAAATATACAAATATACAACCTTGGAACATGCACAGAAGAAAAGCAAAGATGAAACACCCGTGGACTGGATGATATCACCTGACGCTCTCAGCAAATCGCAGGCGCACGTGCGGCAGAGCTGCAAACGCTAAACCCAACACGGCCTAACAACGTCTACGCGGGGAGCTCAGTGTCTCGCCACTTTTATTTTCGACCTTGACGTCCAGCTTTTCTTCTCTCAACGTTGAAATCTGCAATTGAAAACACCTCGTCAATCCGACCTCACATTCCAATATGTCAAGCCAGCCCCTCCTTCAAACTGCGCCGGGTATGTCCAATGCAGTCCACTCCCCATTCCAGACAAATCTCCGCGACCTGGAATTCATTCCCTCTCCAATGCAATGCAATGCGATGTACTAACACATCCTAGGCAAGCGCATTGCGCTCCCAACCCGTGTCGAGCCCAAAGTCTTCTTTGCCAACGAGCGCACCTTCCTCTCCTGGCTCAACTTCACCGTCATCCTGGGCGGTCTCGCAGTCGGTTTGTTGAACTTTGGTGATCGTATCGGTCGGATTTCCGCTGCGCTGTTCACTGTCATTGCTATGGGCGCTATGATATATGCCCTTGTTACATTCCACTGGCGGGCACAGAGTATTCGTCGTCGTGGGACGACTGGTATTGACGACCGTTTCGGCCCGACTATTCTTGCTATTGCTTTGCTTGCTGCTGTGGTTGTCAATTTCATTCTGCGCATTCGCGATGGGCAGATGAACTGAGTGGATTGAACCGTTTACTTGGATTATTGGCTAGAGCTGTTTTGTTACTGTTGTTGTGCAGAGTCCTGCTCTCTGCTTGCCTTCGGTGCCCATGGGCATCTGGATATTGTCTATTCTAGCCGTCTCGTGATTTCTCGGCGTACATGGTCTGCTCTGCTGCCATTCTCTTGAATGCAGCGTCTCATTGCAATTGGCGTTTGGCTGATGATTGGTGCAAGGTCCCAAAAGAATGAATCGTATTTCACATATCAAGTCATATTTACATCCATCTTCCCCCTTCTTCTCTCAACAATAATCCTTCTGCAAAACCTCCCCATCCAAATACCCAGCCTGAATCATCTCCTCGAAACTCCAATAATCCTGCTTCACCCCCTTCCCAGCACCCCCAGCCACCGAAACATTACTATGAAACTTGGCCGTCCAGAACGTACTCCCCTGAGTAAACTGCGCCCAAGCCGACAACCCAGCCTTAAGACTCTCCCCCCTCAAAGCCAACTGATTCCCACCCCCAGCCTCAATAGCCCACTCACCAACAAAAACCGGAAACTTTCCATCAGACACGGTATCACGCGCATCGTCACAAACAAACGTCCCAAGATTCGCACTCGTAGCATTCTCATACTGGAAATAATAATGATGCGCATCAAACACAATATTACTCCCCCCATCGAAAAACCCACTCCAATACCTCTCTGGCTTAAAACTCCCCTGAACCATAACCGGAATACGGCGATCAACCCGTTCAACCCGGTTAATCACAGCTCGAATATACTTAACCAACCACTTCGCTCCCTTTTCACTCAACGCAGCCGGCGTGCCGAACGTCGAAAAATCCCGATTATCAACCGGCTCATTGATAGGCTCAAGCGTATATCCCCACGGTACATCAGAGTCCACAATAAACTCAAGGACAGCATCAACAGCGCGCAAAGACCACTCCAGCGCGGTACTATTATCATACCACCCCCAATGCCCAACCGCCTCACCGATATCAAGACCATTTGTACCGCCAGGTAAAGAGTGGATATCGATAACGACGTGCATGCCATGCCTCTTAATAGCGTATTCCGCAATCCGGCGCAGATGAGCCTGTTGCTGTCCGTGGTAATGCGCTGTACCGGGGAGGACGATCCAGGCTGCGTAGGTTGTGGGTATGCGGAGGATTGTTACGCCTGCTGAGGCGAGTGTGTCAATATCGCTGGTCTTTATCCAGGTGCTGTAGCGCTCTTCGAGGACCGGTCCGCATTGGGATCCAAGGGTCTGGCACATTGTCCATTCGTCGCTGGCGTTGCCGGCGTGTGTCTTCCACCATGCTGTGTCGATTGTCGATTCTTGGATTAGCCAACCACCTAGGTTTACGCCGTATCCTGTGAAGGTGCGCCAGTTTATGTATTTGTGGGTGTTGGCGTTGGTGTTGGCATTGTGGGCTTGTTGGTGTTGGTTGGTTTGCTTGGTTGGGATGGCTGTTGCTAGGTTGCTCAGGAAGAGAGCTGCCAATGGAAGGTGAGCGCGCATTGTAAGTGAAGCTCTCTATGAGAGAATGGAAATGGCAATGCTTCAGAGGATCTTAATCGGTTCAATTCTTCAGATTGTGGCTATATACTTCTCTTATATAGGACACCGAACACCTACACCTACATCCACACTCATCTCCGTCTCAATGTCTCTCACTCGACAAGCCGAGTCTACCCTCCGAACCACAAAATTACCACAGCAAAAATAGCAAAACCTCGGTGCTATTCCCCCGTCAATTACCAGGATTCTCCGCAATGTGGAGTGATAAGGAAAAGCCGAAGTTGTCGACGGCAAAACTAACCCTAGATCATGATCAAACCGGGGGTACGTCACGTCGAATGGGCGAGCGCCAAGAATACACTACCCCATGATAGTCAGGGATGAATGGGCCCGGTGATGCGGAGATTGTCTATATCAGGGAAATGTGAGGATATGAGTGGGTGAATGTGCGGGTGAAGTACCCCAGATGTGGATGTTGGTTGTGGCTGTATTGGGATTGGGATCAGCTGTGGGAGGATGGCTGATTTGTTCGGAATTTCCAGTTAGATGGGGATTGTGATGATCCGAGGCTGTCGCTGTTCGGAGGGATTATTTCCGGTCGGATTGTCCGAGGAGGAGGGGGTTTTGGTTTATTTGTATACTTATATAGTTGGGGTTCCTATATGTTGGTGTATACTATAACGTCGAGGTCTATAGTTCACACGTGAATTACCGGGGAAAGGGTCTGTGGGCTCTCGGGCAATGCCGCTTCTCTTTTCTTTCGATTAAGTTCCATGATCTTCCATGCTTCAACCTCGAAATTTTACTTGGCATAAGTCAATGTGATCTCATAGTTTACTTATAGGGAGTGAACTTATAAGTTATGAATTATAAGTAAAGTAAGTAATTGCTTAAGGGCGCCACGACAGTCATGTGCCCCAGATCTTGATTTGCTACGATTGCATAACAGCCAAGGCAGATTGGGCCAGACTCTTGGCGCGATAGCAGGGCAGAACAGCCGCACACTTCCGGTTGATGTTATATCGTTTGTGTTGTTGATAAATATGATATTGTTGACATTGTCGATCTTATTTGTTGATATTATTTATTGATACTAGTTTATAGAATCAAATTGCACACTATTCTACACATCTCATAGCCTCGAAATAGAGGCAGAAGTGAATGACGTGTCGCGGGTGTGTTTGAGACTCATCCAATGGTACTTAGCTCGCCCATATTAATAGTATGAGCTGAGCAAGTATACTCAGTCTCCACCCACTCCCTGCCCAAGTTCCCATCCCCTTCTGTTTGGAACATCCCCCTTTCTCCCTCTCCCTTTCCCCTTTCCTCTTCTACTCACACTTTGTTTACCCTTCTCTTTCTACCTTTCCCTACCTTCCCTTGGGCCTTATTAATAGATTTTTTCGTAATTCCTTTCGGTTCTGCCACTCTCTACCTTGACCCTCTACCTTATCCTCTACCTCTACCGCTACCGCTACCGCTCATTAGCGCATGGACCATCTGGATCGCCCTAATTCCGGACTTTATTATCGCATGGCATGTTTCGCTTGCTACCCTGGCCCTCGACAATAGGAGGGAATAAGGTGATGGAGGAAGTCAAGATGCTGGCTCCAACCAACTGCACACTCAACACTCTGTCCTTACCTCAACTCAAGCGCAAACGTTCCGACGACGCGACCGACGCTCCCACCCCGACGAAGCTCTGCACAGAGTCGCGGTCGCTCTCCACGCGCCCTGTGTCTGCGACCGTCGTGACCCCGGAATCTGTGACCCCCAGCACTCCGACAACCCCGTCTGTCTCGTCTTCAAATCCACCGGTCGCGGCGCCGCGTCCGCCGGCGCAGGTCGCCAAACCGGCCCCCAGCACCACCCATTTGAGAGATACTATCACCGCACAGCTGAGCCTCGAGGTCCTCCTTAAGCACAACGAGCTCCGTCTCATCGATCAGGAAATCGCCAAGTGCCAGGTCGCCCTCGAACAGCTACGTCGCTGCGCTGAAATCCCTTACCCGGGCTCACGTGTCGCCGGTGTATCCGCCGATGTGAGCTCCGGCACGGGCGCATCGCTGGCACCTGGAAATGGTCCGTCGCCGATGTCGCCTGCGCCATGGGGAGTCACCGATGGTCCTTACTCGCGCCACTACGCCCGCTGGCTGCTGCCTGATCCGCGATTTGACGGTGGCGAAGACGGGTTGACGATTCCTCCGCTGGCCGAGGGTCGCTCTACGCGCGGGAACCCAGGTGACCTAGGCTCGCTGGCGGGCAAGACTCGTCCGCAGCGTGGTTCGACTGGTACCAAGCATACCTCCCTGTCCAGTGGATATCCCCTGGTGAAGGAGAAGCCTGGTCCCATGCTTATCCGGCGCAAGTCGGATGGTGTTCTGGTCAAGCTGGTCTGTCTGGACTGTCGTCGCGACAATTTCTCTAGTACTCAAGGATTTATCAACCACTGCCGTATCGCGCACAACCGCAACTTTGCGAGTCACGATGCCGCTGCCGTTGCCTCTGGTGAAGCGGTCGATGTGGACGACGCCGGGGCTGTTGTTGGTCGCAGTGAACCGACTAGCAGCACTAAAGCTCCTGGCTACGTGCATCCTCTCATCCGCTCTGCCCACATTCCCACTCCTCCCAAGTCTACGCCGGCTGAGAAAGAGTGTGCCACACCTGTTAAACCCGCTACGGCTAACGATTCCGCGGTCGCCACTCCTCCCACCACTGTTCCACCCAACCGCCCCCGGTCTGAGCCTGTGCGTTTGCCTCCAAACCCGCAGTTCCTGGCCTCGCCTGCCACACCCCACCTCTCAGCACTGATGAAATCCCGCGGCGCCGGTCTGGACATGGACAAGCTTGTCAGCGAAGCCCGCACCCCAGTAGACCTGGGCAGTCTCTCCGACGACGAATCCGACGAAGACTCTCGTCCATCCGACTCCAACCCCGACACATCCGAACTCAATCCCCGCGCCGGCCGCCAGCCAATGCGCATTCCGATTGCTCAAGCAGCTCAGCCCGAGAGCCGAAAGGCCCTGGATCGTATCCACGGGCCGCTAATAGAAGAATCGACCCCATCGCGCCCCCAAGCTTCCTTCTTGGACATCTCCGGGCGCACCCAATCTTCTCTGGGATCCCGCGACAGTCTTGACCACGCAAACCTCAGCCCACACGCCATCGAATCAAACCAAGCACCAAGCCTGGTTAGCGACGACGAAGATGACTACGAGGCTGCCTCGGATGAAGATGGTCTATCCTCTTCTGAAGCAGATGAAGAGGAAGAAGAGTTCAGACACATTCACGTCGAAGACGATGAGCGTGCTGCTGCTGCGCCTGCCGCTGCGGAAGCTAAGCCTGGTCCTTCGCTCGCTAGCCCTGCACCACAGTCTGCCACACCTTTGTCGCAGCCGCTGAAGCGCAGTCGCTCGAAGAAGATGGGTATGGTTCCTTTTGGTGAGAGCGATGATGCTCACCATGGCCATACCCGTACCCGTGTTGGCTTTGGCCATTCTACTGAGAATCCCACACAGCCCAAGTGTGAGAGGAAAAATTGATTGTCCAAATGATCACTTGTACACCTACACCCATACAACCTCCCACCTATGATCTGCCCATTCCAGGACAGTCAGACAAGTCCTCGACCTGCCTGATCTGATATACCCTGGATCTGGACCAAGATCTCGTTAACAAAGTTAACAAAAAAAAACAATTTACGCATCCCCTTTGTCAACCCCCTTATTTTACCCAACCAAGCAACAAAAAAACAAAACAAAATCATCTGAAAATGCGGTCCATCTTGACGATGATAAACCCCGATGCATGGAGTTTGAAGTTGATCTGGGATGATGTTGATGACTTTTCTATCCTATCCTCCCCCTACACTACTTTTACCCTACTACGCTACTCTTCTCTACTCTACTCTTCTTGTGATGCATGCGTCTCCCCTGTTTTACTTCTTATCTGATATTTGCCTTTTAATGAAGACTTTACGGCCGTTGTACATAGCGTGAGATTGAAATGTTACTGGTATGGCATAGATTTTGTTGACTGTAGTATCGAAATTGCGTAAAGTAGTCAAAAAGTTAAAAGGCTTCACTAGCATGTGATAATCCCGGGTAAGATAGTCTCACTTTCATGTCACTTGTGAACCAATGAGAAGGATGCCTAATATGTTTCATACTTATCACATCGGGATAGTTGTCTGATTTTCCGGAAGTAGGTTTATTATCGTGTTGCATTCCTAGCCGCACGCGGCAGGGCGCTTTGAGTGTAGAGGGTCGCATGTAGCAGGAATGTCAGACAAGACCATTCTATATTACATCCAAAAATTTATTAACATTCGAATGACTCGTATCCCACCATTCTGTCGCGGATAACCCATCATTCATATCCTTTGTGTTTACTCACAATGATTTCTCAATTGCCTTATAAAACTTACAAGATATTTGCAATCATCATCGCACTTTGCGTTTCATACATACTAGTGTCATTCTTTTTAGGAGACACTGCAGACACTCTATGGCCGCAGCAACAATTACATTTCTTGCGAAGTGGCATTCGCGATGGTGCTCTCGACCACATCTTCAACACCACCCTCGGGGTTAGTACTCATGTCGTATATGTTGCACGGCTGGCAAACTTGGTTTTGGCTAATTTATTATGATTTTAGTTCGAGCACATATATGCTATTGGTTTGAAAGAGCGTACAGACAAGCGCGATTTTCTTACAGTGTCAGCCTCGGTCTCCGGCTTCGAAGTTGAGTGGCTTGACGGAGTTCGTCCGCAAGAATTACAACAGAAAGCGCTACCTAAAGTATGTATTTATATGAATCCTTCACAAAATACCAACTGACTTTGGATGCAGGGATACAACCTCTCACTCACGGAGCCTAATGCGATTGGATGTTGGCGAGCTCACATGAATGCATTGAACAAGTATGGTTGACATCCTATCTCTCTGTGTCAGATCATTCAATCTAATTGCCGTGTGTGGAAAACTAGTGTTCTTCTAAACTCATATTCCACTGCCTTGATACTGGAAGATGATGCCGACTGGGACGTGAACATCAAGTCCCAACTCCGGGAATTTGCCCGTGGCCTGCACTCTCTGAAAGGGAACAGCAAACCATCCAAGCAGGCTCCGTACGGAACTGATTGGGATCTTCTCTGGATTGGAGGATGTGCATCAGGGCCAGATACGAATGAAACCCAATACTACGCCATACCTGATGACCCAACTGTCCCAAGTGTCCAACATCGAGGCACATGGTCCGGTCCCCTTGATAGCTGGAAGGCAATATTTCCTGAAGACTCGACGCGGTTTGTTTATCGCGCTAGAGAAGGCTGTTGCACTTATGGGTATGCAGTCACGAAGAGGGGGGCGAGGAAAATCCTCACTGCCCTCGCTATTGATCATATAGATGCACCCGTTGACAATGCTATGTCTGAATTGTGTGGTGGCCTTGGTGACCGTCAGCGGATCGAATGCTTCGCGCCATTTCCCAACCTTATCGGCACATATAGACAAGCGGGTCCAGCATACAAAGATTCCGATATCAACAATGGCGACCAGACAATCCACGAAGAAATCTCCTATAACATGGTATATAGCACACGATGCAATATTCACAGGCTAATATCGGACGAGGAAACGGTTTTTTCGCAATGGGGCAACGATTCATCCTGGTCACCAGGAGAAATACGTCCGAAGGAGTTTGTCTACCCACGGGGCTACCTTATTAACTAGCTTGATTGCTATTTTATGTTTCTTTTGTATTTCTCTTTCTATTCTTTTTCTTTTTCTTTTTCTTTTTCATCTTATCTTCCTCCCTTCTATTTTGCATTCCTTGAGATCGGTATCCAGAGCAACCGTTTTGTTAAGAAAGATTACTGTAAATAGAGAAAAAGTAAATGGAAAAGAAAGAAAGCAGAAAGATAAACAGAAGGAAAAACAGGGTAACTTTCAATGCTACGTACTTACGACGTTTGCGGGACAAAGGTGGTATTTCCCCTGTCTGCCCGCAAACGTTAGTTGAAGGCAGAATTTGGTGTGATATATGTAGATGAGTTACGAATTGTTCACTTGTCTTCTGCAGACGAGATTCAAAGATGTTGAACTCGTTTCGTGAGCTCAGAGCAAAGCTCAAAGGGGCAGAGGGATGGTCTCGGCTCCGATCGTTGAATCAAACGGGCTATTCATCACCAAGCGCAATTGAGACGAAGACTTTCGAAGAAAGTAACGACTCGGAACTTCAGCCCCTTGAGCATTCAACAGGCGAACACAGAGCCCCTGGAAGGCTTCGCCTCGTGCTATGCATCACAACCAATATTGTTTCGACGGTTTCAATAGTAAGCCTCACAAGAGCCACGAAGCTTCTCCGCTAATCATTTCAAGGTATTCACAAACAAGTACATTTTCTCAAACGAAACACTTCGCAACTGTCAAATGGCATTTGCGTCGTACCACTTTTTCATTACCGGTCTCACTTTGTGGGTAATATCACGGCCTTGCTGCGGTGGTTTTGTCCCCAAGTCAATTTCTCTTCATCGGAATATTCACTTAATCGTTCTTATGTGTGCTCAAGTCATCCTTCAAAATCTCTCACTGGCAAATTCGTCGGTCATATTCCACCAGCTCGTGCGATTACTACTCACGCCGGCAACGGCCTTACTGGGCTTCTTACTCTATCGCACCGTCATTCCGAAGGCATCCCTTCTTCCAATGATGATTCTGATTATAGGCGTGGGAACCATATTCTGGTTCGATTCACGTTCCGCGACTAATACAGCAGTCGCAACAACGTCAAAGGGGGTTGCTTGTGCATTTGCCGGTGTGTTTGCCAGTTCCCTTTACACAGCACTAGTTGGAAGCTATCAGAAAAGGTTGCAAATGAGCAGCATGCAGCTCCTACTCAACCAAGCTCCACTGAGCGCCACCATGCTTCTGTGTATGGTTCCCTTTCTAGATGCACCGCCTGCAACTACTGCACTTTCACCATCATTATACGTCGCGATTGCCGCGGTGAGTGGTCATCCTCCTTATAGGCACCTTTCCAGTGGAAGATCGAAATGATTGCTAATATGTTACTCTTACCTTTAGAGTGGGTTCTTTGCTTGTCTCGTTAATGTGTCCCAATTTGCCGTCATTGACGCCGTGGGCCCTGTTAGCAGCACAGTCATTGGACATTTGAAAACATGCACAATTGTAGGCCTGGGTTGGTACTTGAGTGGTCAGTCTATCTCAAGACAAAGTATTGCCGGGCTTCTCTTGACTTTGCTTGGAATGGGCTTGTAAGTCTGGACTTCTATTTCAAACGTACCCAGTTCTAACCATTTGAAAAGATACATGGCTGCTGTTCTTCGAAACCGCAGATGAAGTTCTGCGATTTTATGATTTCGAAACTATCTTGTGGCAGGGTTGGGCCTTTTGGCATAATTCCAATGCCAAGCGGCCATGCCCTTCTCTATGATAGTCCTTACTTGCGCTATTCGACCGACTTGCCTTTCGAGAACGGCCAAAGCGAATGGAAAGCCCTTTGTATTTCAATTTTCATCGTTTTATGTCCATATGCCATCTCTCATATTCTCTTGCCGTTCGCTTATAGATAATACAAAGAAATAAGATAACATCAACAGTGGGCAAGAAAGAACATTGGTCATGAAGGTGATCGAATATGTAGAATTTCCAAGCTTTGAGTTGCACTTGAAGCCGATCTCTCAATTTAGAACACATACTTCTCTGTTATGAAGAGCTAGGCTACCTTTTTATAAGGCTTAAGCCATTGATTTTATTTTTACGAGTTCCGATGAGACTTTTAACGCCAAATAGCCGCAAGGTTTGATCGAGCCTCCCGTCTTTCTCTTTTGTCAATCCTGCGTGACCCTATCAGTGATACAAAACCTTAACCTTCGTCTTTACTACGTGCTGATAACTAAGTTGGTTTTAAATGGCCTTACATATTGCCCTTTGGTACCTGTACTGCATTTTCATCTCTATCTGTAAAATAGCGGCCTGTTCTTTGACAACGTAATGGTACGTGTTTCGGCTATCACCCTAAGATTTTCCATGTACAAATCAACAATTTTTTATAATATTCAAGAGAATGCGTAACATCTGCATTTGGGGTATTTCGATCACTCTAAAAATCGCCGGACCAATATGTTAAACCGAGTGTCCTGCGTCATTATGATCTCGGGCGTTAAGCTGTTCAGCTGCGGTGTCACATGGTGCCAGGCATGATAAGCAAGCTGATTTGAGTACATACTGCCATTGTTTTTGGCAAGGGTCCGCTTAAAGTCCCTTGCCTGGGCGTCGGTAAGCAGCTCATGCATATATTGTTTAGCATCCCAACTTGGCCAGAAGAATACCGTTGGCGACAGCGTGCAGACTTCTTCAGGGAACAACAAAGCCCAGTCATGTGGGAGAATGACCGAGTGGGTGTTCCACTCGTCCACCTCAAAATTGCTGTAGCTGGCTTTCCAACGGTCCACGAATGCGGAGCGCTTCCGCCCCAAAATGATGCCATTGCAGAGCCCGAAGCGGTTACGGCCCTCGTGGCCGAGAACAATGTCCTTCGGGCTATGCAGCAGGTTGTCAAAAGGCTGCAGGGCAATAATATCCGTGTCGAAGTAGATCCCGCCGTCGCGCTGTATTATGTCTAGCCGCAGCATATCCGCGAGGTGCGCTTGTTGCCAATTTTCCTCAACCTGTCTTGGATATTCTTGCTTCAGATCATGGCGAACGAGAGTGATGTTGGCGCGGAGCTTGCGTAACCACTCATTGTTTTCGTTGAGATCGGTGCAGTGTAGATTCAGCCGGTCTGGTTGAAGAGACACTAGTGCGGCCCGCATGGCCAGGTAGCTCAGGAAGGACAGTTCAGTCTCATTGAGCCATATGAAGTTCACTGTCTTAGGAATTGGGTTAGAGGACTGTATCCCGCTTGCGAAGCAGTGTCGCTCTTCCGGAGTCTCTTCGGGGATGTCGTCGAATTCGTCCTTTGGCTTTTCCGACTCTTGAGGATGATGCGAGTCCTGAACATGGTGCGCAACACTCTCGTGCGTGGCATACTTTTCGCTTGATCCTGTCTCAATGGCAGTGCTCTCTTTGGGCTGATAGGCTGGATCCTTTTGTTGGCCAGCTATTTCGGCCGTTTTTCCTCTAAAGGGCGGGCGGGAATAGTAGGTGGCTACATGATGATATCCAGTAGCAACGCGACTGAAATGCCAGGTTGGGGGCGAAGAGGGATATGCCAGGTAGAACACAGTCACTGAGGCGATCACCAGAATTGTGAGCTTGGTGGGAAAACTGAATCCAAACATCTCGAAAAGAGTACAATACCCTGCACCCGTGGGGAGCCAGGGGTTAGGAGAAATATAGACATCCTAACCGTTGCTACAAGCTGTTTATGTAGCGAGCGCAAGCGTCGTGCACCATTGAAACTTTCGATGGTACTGTAGCATGGGCCGGAAGGGGCATCGCAACCGTTTTGGGCTTTTTGGAGGCCAAAGGCGAGTGAACGATCAATGGTTGAATGCAGCCTAAATCTGCCACGAAATAATCTCCAGGTGAGCATCATGCCCTGCTATCTGTACTTTTCGAAGGCTGCTTCCATGCTGATGGTGATTTCGAGGGCTTGCCAATTCTGGCTCATATTTGCCTCTTTTTGCAGGCATTAAAAGCGCCAAGCCTGCAGAGAAGCCACACTATTAGCATTTCCTATGTCAGTAATAGTTTCCTCATTCCGTGATATATGCTGGTAAATCAGAACAGTATCCTGTTCTAAGGAGGAGAAGGTAACAAGATATTAATCTGGTGGTTTTTTTGGTTGTTACACCTCCAATTGGTCTTTATGAACATTGCGATCTCCGAGATTTCAGCCACCAATATAGAAAAGCAAAAACAGGAAAACAGGTTAATGTATGCATAATTAAACCCTTCTTCTCGCGACCCAGAGCTGCTCTTCTCTTGTAGCCGTAGTCCCCGGTGTAACACTATGCACATGCGAAAAAGCTCTACTGCATATTCAAACTGAGGTACAAAGAACCTGTTATGCATCCATGGCGTAGTCGATCTCTGACCGACCTTCTTTTCTTATGCAGATCATCGATCGCGTATACCTTGGCGCGATCCACCAAACGCGAGGTTGATTTCAGCTGATCAAGTGCCTTGGATTGAATACATGCCGATCAGCTAACACATTGTTTTCATCAACCTCGATGTCAAGAGAAAGCTTCATGAAGACTTCAATCAATAGATCGGTCTCTTTCGGCACGCGCATGGGATCAACCCCTGCATAATGTGGCCCATTTCTAATCAAGTTGTATTAGTTGGGGTGCATATATCACAATGCAGGTATCAATAGTCTATGCATGTTTCAGCTCGCCATCATGAACTCTTCGTGGCATACAGGTGTTCCGCATAAAAGAATAATATAAATACCTAGGAATGGTCGCGACTCGGACATTCTTCATTATCACAACCCACTCTTAACCACTCCATTATCTACCTTTCTCTCCATTCTCAACTACCAGATCAACAAAATGAAGGCCTTTTTCGGACTTGGCGCTCTTGCAGCCCTCTGCCAGTCGGTACACAGCCTGGAGAATGGTCTCTACACGATCGGATCAGCTATCACTGGTGGCGATTCTGTATTGACCGCCCATAGTAGCTCGCCTGGTATACCCCTCGACTTTACTGAGGACCATGGAGATTCCAGTCAGGTTTGGGACTTCTCTTCAAGCGACGGCCAATACTTCCTGGTCAAGAATCAACTTGGCGCGTACATCAACTGCGAGGAAGGCTCTGTTTGTCTTACCGGCGGTTCCCCTCAGGCATTTATCCCGGAGTTCACGGGCGATGGAAAATATGAGCTTGTTGCACAGGGTTCTGGGCTATTCCTGCGTGCCGATGACCAGGGACAATTGCTGTTGGATGAATATGACCAGAGTCTTAATGAGCAGTTCTTCTTGTCCCCGGCTCCGGCTCAAGGTAAGTCATATATGCAGCCTTATTCTGAAGTTATATTTACGCTAAGAATTTACTAGAGTAATTTAGGACATCTTTTTTATGAAAAAAAGAAAAGCAATTGGCTTTGTGGATTGCTACGCGGTGTTGTATACGATCATGTCAAATAGAATCTTGTACCCACTCTGTGGACATTCCAACTGTTGCTACGTGTAACACATTATTATGCCTACGAGCTCTGAATTCTACCATGGCATTATTAGAAGGGGCATCCAAGCCACTTATATTGATAACGACCAATTCCAATATTCTTGGTTGCGGAATTGAAGAACTCCCTATCCATTGCCCTTTCACCTGCTCCAAAACATACGATATTCACAATCTAAGCTAAAGGGAGTACGACATAAATGTGGTTGGCCTTTGCATTCGCATCACAATCTGGGGAAAACCCTATAAGTCTGGGCGAAAACCCAAATCAAGGCACTCAGCTATAGAACAGAATCGGAGTCCCATCTTGCTCATAAACCTTTGCCAAATGGCGCAACCGTTTTTCTCCAAATCTACCAGCATTTCTTGGGTCCGAGAATGAAGATTAGTAAAGATACAGCAGTTGAGATTTTGTCCTCATACCGTGTTCTTCAAAGACCAAGGCTTGCTAACTATTAAGGTAATTAGTTCTCTGAAATTGGATGTTTCTGATATCGAGAGAGGTTTGCTGACCAGTTTGCTAAGCCCAGGCCTTTGGATCTTGTACTTTGAAACTGATTCTTCTGCGTCGCCGATATTACCTACCAACTATAAGTGGTAATGGCATCAGTCTGATAATTCAAAAGTCTGCATAGTCACAGAGGTGCTTGCTCACATTCTAAGGATAGAAGTTGTCAGTTCTGCGTCCCCGTAAAAGTTCCTAGATCCGAAGTTTCTCACCTCCTATGAATTAAATGCTTGTAAGCCTCACGATCGAGTAGCAAGCAAAGTTTGTGTCTTTTGATAACTCACGACCTAGGAACATTAGCTTTGGATGTATTAAGATTCATGAGGGCTCATACTTGCTATAATTTCGGATCACTTGTCAGCTCTGCCTACCAGCAGTATGGCTTCGATAATCGAGGAGATAACTCACTTCCTAGAAGAGAAGCCTGGGTCAGTGATACTTCAATAATCTAGCGAGTAATGTGAGACTCACACTCTGTAATTGCCGTAATTGTTAGATTGTTGCCGAATTAAATGTCTCCGCTAGCACTCACCAACTGGCGAATCGAAGTGTCAGTCAAACTTGCATCAAGGAAAGCCAATAATACACGCGAACTTACTCTCTGTTTCAACCATGTATTAGTTTTGGTCGCGATTAATTCAGTATGTTTCCTCGGCCATGTCACTCACATCCTATAATAGAACGATGTGTTAGCCGACTCTCCTAAGAAATAGTGTATTGAACTCAAGGTCATTACTTACTAACTGTACAGATCATCTCCGTTAGTTTCTCATTCAATCGAAATCCTCATGAATGAAGCAGACAGCTACTCACAATCTATATTTCACAGCGCTGTCAGTTTTCATCCAAGAAGTATTCGGTTATTTAGTCAACTCACACTCTTGACGGTCACCCTTGTAAGCTTTTGATCGAGCAGCATTATTTTCCTGTATCTTGGAGCTCACTCACATTCTAGATTGAATATCATATTAGTAACGTCTTCAGAGTCAAATGGCCTTACCTTGAGTGACTGGGAACTGGAAGTACTTACTATCTGTAGAAGTCAAACATGTTAGCTCTCGATCCCAGTGTGCTAGGCTGAAACAGATAACTTACCGACTATTACTCATGAAGTGATGTAAGCCTCTACCCAATCAGATCCCTTTCTTTGCTGAGGACTTACAGGCTGTGGCCCAGCTTTATCAGTCTCGGTTCTGATGGTTGAAAAGATCTGGAATCGAGTGTACTCACAACCTAGTTGGTCCAGCTAGGTTAGAATCCGGTCGAATATAGCGGGATTTCAGAGAGAGAGAAGGTACTCACGAGCTTTTAGTTTGTTAGCCTTGTGTCATCATGTTATTAGCAATAAACTTACCGGGTGTTTAAAGACTGCTTTTTCAATCGTATCGCTCTTGATAATCGGGGCTGCAAGGGTGAAACCAAAAAGCAGCATAAGCAAGAAAACGATGGGCTGCATATCTGTTGCTTCTCGGATACCTATCGGATACCTAAAATTGTTAGAGGGAAAATATCTGATGCGTTAGAGTCAATAAGTCGTGAAAAAAATATCGATTGATGACAACAAGGCAGACCGGAAAGGGCTCTGTTCTTCCTTAAATAATCCAACTCAATCGTTGTCAACACATAAACAGTCAATATTTAGCCCCTGGTGGTGGCTCATTTTCATCTAGGTGATCGACCAATAGAACTTTTCGATTCAAGCCTACAATGATATTACGCAGGTTTTGGCTTACATATTTGAGTGTCACCTAGGAAGTTCTGGCGGTTAGAACCTAGAGCCGCCTTACTAAGAATCTGGGGACCAAGAATTCTTCGGAGAACCGCTCGAGCCTTTGTTTATGTGTTTAAGGTTAAAGAGACAGACATTCCATCGGTGAGCAAGTCCCCTCAACGTTATACATTTATACATTTTTTGGCTTATTGATCATACTTTGGCTATATATTTTGGAGATAAAAAGCGATTCGCTTTGTCGCTACAGCTTTTCTTTCGTTACTTTAGTCCAGGTCCTTGGTGTCTCATGCCTGCAGACTTTTAACTATGGTCCTACTTGAGTCCTTGTGTAGCTCGCGTAGGATAGTGCTAGCGCAACACCATTAGCAATGTTTTGATGCAGGTAACTACAGTTTCTGTAGTAGTTAATATCTCATATATAGCTTAATAGATGATGATGAATAACAACATAAAATATTTCTCGTAGATCGAAAATTTTTTGACCAGACGCAGAGTAGTAGGCCACACCCGCAGCAAGATGTATGTGTTGGCACCTCGTGGTGACCGGTCTGCCATCACGTTCGAATATACGGGTCGCATTGAATATATAAGGTATGAAAACCACATACGAGAGCTATGATCTGAAATACTGGCAAATTTAATCCCTATTTTCCTCAGAAGTTAACATTGTTGGCTCTAATAGCAATGATGATAGTTTCGTTCTTTGTGGGTTGCTGCAGTAGAAGAACACAATTAGAGACCCAACGAATATCACCAGCCAATCAGCAATTCCAACTGATTGATGTTCCAGCATCATTGGTCTAGTGGTAGAATTCGTCGTTGCCATCGACGAGGCCCGTGTTCGATTCACGGATGATGCACATTTTTTTTGCTCTTTTTTCCTACATAATAAACTACTCCGAACTCTTTTTTAAACCGGAGCAAGATTTATTGAAAATGCTCTAGCAATTGCACACGAGCCAGCGTGCCCGTGCCCATTTTCATATGCATGGACCGAGATCTTAGGGCCATACTGTATGCTGACGATTGCCCCGAAATCAATCCACGAGTGGAACCAAAATTAGGGCTCCATAAACTAACGACAATGGCGAACCCTTCCAAGGTTACCAGATTTACCTGGTTTACCAAGATGGACCCTAGGATCGTCATGGTGTTGATCACTGCCCAGCAACAACAACAATCTCGTTAACCCCGTCAATGTAGGGGCAACTATTTCCGCCAAACCCAACGACAGGGGTTATCACTGCCCTTTACCCTTGCACGGCATTCAAGAATCTGCACAACACCAGTTGAGACGGTCACATTCTTTATGTGACACCAGGTGTGAACTACATACACACAATGTCCGACGAAAAAGTGATACTGGTCGATTTCGAGGGTGACCACCCTCAAGATTGGCCTGCAAAGCGAAAATGGACCATCATGTGTACCATTTCTATTCCGCTATTTCTGATGCCATTGTCGTCGACTATAACGACTCCAACCGTCAGTGCCATTGCGGATGAATTCCACATCTCGTCTTCTATAACTGGTCCATTGGCGTTGTCATTATTCCTGCTTATGTACTCCATGGGTCCAATCCTGCTCGGCCCATTCAGTGAGTTATATGGACGATGGCCTATTTTGCAGACTGGCAGTCTAGTCTACCTAGCTTTTAATATCGGGGCTGGCTTTTGCACAAGTATAATCCAGCTATTGGTGTTCAGGCTTTTAAGTGGAGTTGGTGCCAGTGCATCGCTAGCTGTGAGTCTGAATCTAAATTGCTATATTTACTTATGCCATTTGATCGAGATCTAATGCTGTCCCAGGTTGGCGCGAGCATGGTCGGGGATGTGTTTCGCAAAGAGGAACGAGGTCTTCCCGTGGCTTTGATTAGCCTAGGCCCTGTCCTAGGATCATGTCTTGGACCTCTCGTGGGCGGGTTCATTGCAGACTATACTACCTGGCGGTGGGCATTCTGGTCGACTTCCATCGCTGCCGGGATTTTCCTTCTTCTCTGCCTTATGACCGCGCGAGAGACTTACGCGCCCATTCTCCTTCTGCGAAAGAAGAAAGCCATCATGCAAGAAGCAAGGCAGGAAGGTGAAGTCTACAACATAGTATGGAAGACACCATATGAAAAAGACGAAACCATTGGCCAGCTCTATCGACGCACCATTTCCCGATCTCTATACTTCCTCGGCACGCAGCCAATCATCCAAGCTCTGGCATGTTACTACGGCTACCTCTATGGAATTGTCTACCTCCTCCTCTCCAGTTTCTCAGATCTGTGGACAAAAAAATACCACATGGCAATCAGCACCGGATCTCTCAACTACATCGCACCCTGTTGCGGGTACTTCATCGGAGCCCAAATCTGTGCTTTTGGGACCGACCGTGTCTACCGATACCAGGTAGCCAAGAACAACGGTGTTGGCAAACCAGAGTTCCGCCTGCCAATTATGGTACCAGCCTCCTTGCTAGTCCCTATCGGTTTGCTCTGGTACGGCTGGAGCGCGGAGTACAAGACACATTGGATCGTGCCTGACATTGGGATCGCGCTTCCTTTGATGGGTGCCACTATAATTTTCCAGTGTGTTAGTGCATATCTATTGGATACCTTCCCTGTGTATGCGGCGAGTGCCAATGGCGCTGTCTACATCGTGCGAGGGTTGACTGGGTTTGGGTTCCCGCTGTTCAGCCCGGAGATGTATGCAACGCTTGGGTATGGATGGGGTAATACCCTTCTAGCACTCCTGGCATTGGTGGTTGGATGTCCTATTCCGTTCATTCTGTGGCGATATGGGGAGAGGCTGAGGGCTGCGAGCAATTATGCCGATCAAATTAAGTAAAATTAATGTCTACAGTAAATTGGAAATATGCATGCTAACCACGCATCTAATCTCACTGTCACTCTCGCTCTTCATTCATCCGAACAATTTCTTTCATCATATCGTAGCACACGCTCTCACTAACATAACTATCCTGCTGATAATCCCCGTGTTGGCGCACAAACTCTCTCATCCAAGACGCCGGCGTAGGCATCTCGCCACTAGCACGTTTGCTGATGACATCCAGATATGGCGATATCCTCTCCTGTTCCGACACAGGCATTTTGCTGTAATCAAGGTAATACCGCACAAGTGGAATCAAACCAGGGAAGCCCGTATGACCCAATTCCCCATTGAAAATCTCATCAGCAGACATGAGAGCATAATACTCGCCATCAACACGAGACTGGACGTTCTCTTCGCACATTGGATGAGCTGACCTGACCACATGAGCCGAATCCGTCAACCACCCAGACCGACGGAACCACATCCGCTCTTCAAGGACTGCATTGCGCTTATTTGCAAACTCCATAGACTCGCCCACTTTATCAATTGGGATATAGAAGTTCAGATGGAGGGTCACAATCGCCCTGGAAAGTAGGTATGTGAAGATGGCAAAGGCTGCATTGTCCTTGTCTATGAGTTGGGCTTCCATTGTTCGGAATTCGATACACCAGCCTGGTCCACTGTACGAAAGGGGTGGTTTTAAGCGGACTGCGTGCCATGTGCAGCCGTGTAGGAGTTCGAAGAGTTTTGTATTTGATGTGTTGAAATGGCTCATATCTTCTTGGGTTAAGACGAGAGGGTCGCGGGAGAGAATGGATGCAAAGTGTGTTGCTAGTTGTTCGTCCATGTCTCCATCTAGAAGACTTTGTTTGATTGTTTCGTCCATTGGTTGGAGAGGTGTGTTACTTTCCATTTCTGGAGGTCTTTCCTGTGAGAGATATGTGCGATTACAGGTCCAGCGAGGAGGCTGCGAGGGATGTTTTCAGCTTTGGTCTTTTCATTTTGAAGCACGCTGGTTGGTTGACATACTGTATGTTCCATCTCCTCTGGTCGGCGGTCATCTACCAAATCCCCAAATCGCTGCCACCTGACATCCGTATCAACAAGATATCCCTTCCATATTGGAACTGCGGCGGTCATGGCGAGAAAGACTGGTGTAAGAGGTATAAGCTGGTCATATAGCCAACGGCATTCGGCTTCATTCGATGTCTGGAAGGTCGTTTGGAGGCTGCTGCTACCCATCCCGACCTGGACGTGATCCAAGCAAATGGATTCTGGGCCTTTCTCCCCTAGAGGCAAGGTAGGCGTTCGCAAATCCCGATATATCGAATAGTGTGTTGGTTTCGGGTGATTTTTCCTTCGACCACGGACATTGTCGAAGAGACTTCTATAACGTGGAAGAGTACAAAGGGAATGATTCGATCGGTTCGGTCCTTCGGGAGTTGTCCATTGGCCATCGATTCCGGCGCGAGGAAATGAGCCAATTGAGATGGTGTGTTGGTTTGAGGCGAGATAGCGGTCGATTATTTCTCGTCTTATACTCCTATTATGGTCCTCCATACTTCCTGTATATGGCTTGGCTGGGGTTGTTTCGACGACGTATTTGGCTCCTTCCCACTGCAGGGTAACTCTGTTCAATCCATTCATGTCAGTAACTGGCTGCGTCGGGGCTCTGGTTGTGGGTATACATACGGCGATTCCTCGCTGGCGGGATCTCCTTCCCATTCTCGAATAACCCTCTTCTGGTCTAATAGCATTGTCGCGCGCGATGCGCCGTGATCCAAATCAACTAGGTTGTATTCAATCTGATCTTGATTAGCATATCTTTTCTGTATGCTCCATCTTTATTGTTTCAACAAACCTCATCACCCCACGTTGCGACATTGTCGCTGCGATGGCGGTGCTTGTTCCAAAGGCAAAGCAATTGCTGTAAACATTAGCAAAGTCAGACTAAACAGCAAAAAAACATACCTCGGTCGCCCATTTCCGAACACTTGGTCCTGCCTGCTCCGTCGTGGCCCAGCCAATTGATGGTCCCTCTACGCTATCAAGAGTTAAGACGTGTTTTTCTCTTTGCTAGGGGTGGTACAGTAGACATACGATAAGCCCATGATGACACGGTTTGGATTGAAGCGCAGAAGAATAAATGTCAAAGTTAATTTTTTTTCTCTCTCCTTTCTTTTCTTGTAGATCGCGAAACCCCCTTACAGCAGTCTATTCCCCCTAGACATCGGGTCTAATAAACATTCCAACACCATCAGGCCTTACGTCATTTATTACAACTTTAGAGATCTGCGGGCGATCTTCGATTAGCGTTCGCAATGAATGCCCATTAGCGTGTCTCGACACTTCCACACATGCTCTACGGCAATGGATCTTGCTTGACAGGTCCCACTTTCCTGTTTTTATCTTGATCGTAGGCGGGAGATGACGCATGGTGAAGTAAGGAACAATCCAGATCATTTCCTGTGTTGGATGTACTTCGGTCAAATTATAGGGTGTGTTTTTCTTCAATTATGGGCTTCAAAATTCGGTAGGTTCGGCGTCCTTATATAGATAGACAGGCCTTAAAGAACAGTGAATATATGATTTAGTATACAATGCGGTGAAAGGAGCAAGTGCGATGAACAGTTACGAACTATTCTTGAATTTCAGTCCATGTATGTTGTGCTTCGGGCTGAAGGAACTTTATTTGTCTTGGTACGATCCAACATCTGTAACCTGATTGACTTTGCTCCGATCTATGGGTCAACAATATCTCATCTGTCATTGCTCTTCCCCTTCCCCTGGCATAAAATGGATGGTAGGGAGTCATACATATTTTCCCAAGTATGAGATTTAACCGGAATGAACGACTATATATATGCAGTCATCATTTGTTTAAGGTGCAAGACGGCGGCTAGTTTCTCACGACAACCCACTTAATATGGTTCCATTCAAAATGAAACCCATATATATTCACAACTAAAAAATAAGAATTAAGGCAGACAGACCAACCAACCAACCCTGGCAAAAAAAATGGCAAAAAAATGAAAGAAACTGCTCACGCACCGACTTGAACGATGGACCTCGGCATTACTAGTGCCGCGCTCTACCAACTGAGCTACGCGAGCCGCTTAATGAAAGAAACAGTAGCATTTAACATCATGAGCCTAAACAGAAAATATATCGCAACGTAACAGGCTTTACTTGGTGATATCAACCCTCAGAACGAGATCGAAGATATAGTCTCCCAACCGAGCTACTCCTAAGACCTCATACTCTTCTTCTTATTCAGAACTTATAAAGAAATATAATTTTCATCAGGGAATAAAGGGAAGGTAGATATAATCATCGAATCAGTAGACGAGACCAAGATCCAGAATATATTGTACTCAGCCGCTAGGGCTACCAGAGATCTAGGCAGAAGTCATCACTATAAAAGCACATATTTCTGGGTCCTGCCTCGATGATGATTTAAATAATCAAGATTGGCCACACCATGATACAATAACACACATACTAACACACAGAAGGAGAGAAACAGCCTATATACAAACGAGACAACGAAAGCAAAAACAACAATCAGAACTTCCATGTGGTAGCGAGATCCGTATCCAGAAAAGAACGAAAGACAAGAAGGGGTGTGATGTATAAGCAAGCGAGTGAATGGACAGAGGGTAGGGTAGGGTTGCATTTCAGCTACGTCGGGATACCTTGGTCCACCATATAAGAATCAGCGAGTGTGCAAGAGTGCAGGCTGGAAGGAATGGGTATGTAGGCCGGTTCGGCGATGGAGGGGGAAAGGATAGGGCTTAAAGGGAGATAGAGTACCGGTAAACAAAAGGTGACGGAGTGAAAGAGGCAAGACTAGAGGAATAGGGTATGACAGAATTGGAGTACATCCATCCATCACTAATCCATAGCCTCGGATTCCAAGGGCAGCCAGTTCCAGTGAGACCTATCCTAGTCCTAATAGGAAGAATATAGAAAAAGGTCGAAAGTTGAAAAATTGAAATAGAAAGTAGGCTTGGAAAAACGAGAGCTTCGTGAGTAGTGGGTTACATTTAACAAAGAACAATAATCCAACGGGGAAGGGAATATCCAGACACGATGCAAAGTGCAATTGCAATTGCAATTGCATAGCAAGTCTGCAGTTAGAGGCAGAGATGCAAGTTTCTCTCTCTATTCCTGTCCAAATCCAAGTGTTTCTTCCACGGCAATAGACATTTTGTGTTCTAAGGCTTCATGAGTCTTGTAAGGAGGGAGATCAAGACGGTTGAAGCTGTAACAAGTATGTCAGCAGTCACTCTTTAGCATAAATATAACATCAGTTGAAACATACCAAGTATGCGACTTAGGCAGCGCAACAGGATCACCCGACTTCTCAATGGTAAAGCGTCTGGGACCGTCGGAGCCCTGCAAATCCTTGAAACCGTTGACGGGAATACGGGAAGTTCCGGTGGTGAATTGAAGCAGACGGGACTTCTGTTCAGCGTCCCAGGTGCGGACGATCTTCCAGAAGTTCTGGATGACCTCGTCTTGCTCCTGGTAGCCACGATAATCGGTGTGCTTCTTCCAGTCGTCGACGTCGATATCGGCAATACCACCGATGAGCAACTCCAGTTCGCGCTCGTCAAAGACGTTGACAAGATCGGGTGGAATAAGCTCGTTGAAACCGGACATAAAGGCGTTGAACTGCTCCTCGACTCGCTTGACAATCTTCCACTCGGTAACCAACCTGGGTGAGGTTAGTATGCGGGTTTCTGACACAGTTGATACATGTCACTTACTCAATGTACTGTGCCTTGTTCTCGTTGGTGACGGGCATGTCCCGGCCACCGGGTATCAAATCAATAGTGCGACGCTCGCCAAACTTCTCATCATCAACCGAAAATGTAAGCTCCACAATCCCTTCAATGTCATTATCCCTGGAATAATGTTAGTATATGTTATCAACACGCAGAAAGAACCACTTACAAGGTCCACGCCAGGTTACGGTGTAGATCTTCATCGACACCCTCCATGTCTTGAAGAGTGACCTTCTTCCGCAGCATCATCTTGTAGAAGGCTCCAATGAAGAAGGAATCCAAGAAACGACGATGGAAGATAGCTAGACCGACCACTCGGCCAATGAACTTGAAGTAGTTGAGATGTTCGGGGTTCACGCCCGAGTGGGGATTAATCTGCAAGGTATAATTATCGTGGGCGGAGTATTCGAAGAGGCAGTAGAAAGGATTGAACATTTCGTGGGAGAGAAGGAAGAAGAATTCACTGTGAAAGTTAGCAATTGTTGTAAACCTTGGAAGAAACATTGGAAAAGCATACCGTGAGAGACCACCGTAGTCAAGACCGTCTTCGCCATCAAACTTGATCATTAGGCGCTTCTTAAGATCGGACGCGCTCTGTCGCATAATCTCGGCGTACGAATCCTCGAAGATGTTATTACGACGGACCTTGACATGGCATTGACCGGACATGATCCGCAAGGCGGGTTGAGATCGGAAGTAGATCAGCTTGCGGCGGAAGTCACGCTTATACTGCGGCACACCCTGATCCAAAGACGAGGGCAACCGAGGGTCATCCCAGGTAGTCGTCTTTGTGTTGTGATCCACAAAGTATACTCGCGCGGTGTTGGTCAAACGCATTTCCCAACCACTGGGCAGAGGGCCCAATTGGGAAACGGGCTGCTGTTGAATAGTGGTGTTGTTGGCACCGCCGGTGGTTTGGCCTTGTCCGTACATGCGGATATACTGCTGTCGGCGAGGATCGACCCATGTCGTCGTCCGCGTGTTGTGGTCCACAAAGTACGGCCGGCCCTCGGGTGTCACTCGTCGTTCCCAGCCTGGTGGAAGCTCCCCTGTGCCAGCAGTGGTGGCTCCCGTCGCCATCATGGATACCGCATTCGCGTTAGACCCGGCCGGCGCTCCACTTGCGAGAGAGGTGCCAGCGTTAGGACCGGGCGGTGGTGTAGGTATCTGCTGCGCATCCGGCAGGTTCGGCGAGCTCGCGCCAGTCCGATCTTCAGGCAGCATTCGGCTCTGGTGTGCGCGGCGCTCGAGCTGCATGTTGGCTTCGCGCTGCGAACGCTGGGCATGCTCGTTGTAGTTGGCCGCTGGTCGTGACCAGGTGGTGGTGCGGGTATTGTGATCCACATAGTACGTCCGTCCCAAGTTGTCCTCACGCCGTTCCCAGCCAGCGGGTAATCGGCCCTGGCTGTCCTCAAAGGAGCTCAGGTTAGCACGAGAGGGGGCACCTGGTCCTGGAGGGTTGGTGGGAGCGCCATTCAGGGGAGGAGGGGGACCGGTCGGCAAGGCGGACGTCGGCGTGCGCTGGTTAAGAGATGAATTTGACGCGGCGGCAGGGGACGTATCGAGGTTGCTAGGGCCTGGCTGGGTTTGCGGGGAAGGTGCGGCGACCTGGGGCACAAGGCCGCTAGAAGTTGAAGTCTGGGCCTGTTGACGCTGGAGGCCATTCTGGTTCGGATGAGGGGTGCTGAGGTTCGACGATAAGTTGATAATCAATTTTCCATGGACCACAAGGTTGTCGTTAGACTTTTTCAGATCACGAGTGAGCATTTCTGTTGCGGGATTGGCACGAGGCCGTCAGGTCAGTCCAGGTATGACTCGCGATCGGGCGTTCTTCGGACGTACCATCACCACCCATCGAGAGGTCGATAACATCGCCGATTCGGACGTTAATGACACCGAGGAAACCCTGGTCCTTCTTCTTGAATTTCTTCTGGTCAAATATCTGGATCGCAAGAATGCTGTCCTCATTGACTCTCCTGCAAGCGCCAAACCCACGGTTAACACGTTCGCTCTATTTCATAGACGGGACCGGATTCACGTACAGGTCGAATGGTTCATTCCAGTAGGGATTCAGAGTTTTCTTGATCACAGAAGTGGTATGTGTCTGCTCTCCTCCGACGGTGGCCACGGCGAACGGATCAGGGAATCCTGCAGGAAGTGGTCAGTTTCAACCCCGCCAAGCACGAAACAGCTGATCCCAAGATAGAGGTAACATACGAAAGACATCGCGCTTGTACAGACCGTCTGCAGCAATAACTGTGGTCGAGAATGTTAGTCTCGTGCCGGAATCAAAACCCCGCAGTGTCTTAAAGTCGAGGATGAAGTGACAAAGGCATCTTACTCGTGACCCGAAGATTTGGCTGGCTACAATGAGATCAGCAAACAGTCCCAAGATAGACATAGACTGGAGAGGGGACACTCACGCTGGCAGATTTGACGCCATGGTGCTCTTCACAGCCTGGGAGGTGGCTAAGGCCGATCAATCCCAAAGAGCGGCGCGCACATCCACGAACAAAAAGGCCAAACCGAGTCAGTGGTCTAAGCCTAAAAGACGAGAGTGGAAGAGATGATGGTGGTGATGGGGTAAGGTTGAGAGAGGAGAAAGAGGGAAGGGAAGGGTTAGGCTCAGGTAATTCCGGGTTGTATGGCGCAGGTACTCTGACTACGTATTCACTATGTACGGGGTACCCGGTCGGTACTTCCTGGGGGGCTGAGCAACAGAGATCTCATAACTAGACAGGATTTAATGATTTCAATTCTAAGCCACATTTTGTCTCCTTTCAAGTTCTTTCTAAGCTTCCGGGTGTGGGAGGGCGGAATAGAGTGGCGAGTATAGAGCCGTTTGACTAGGCAGCAAAATTGAAATGATATCAGTATTAATATAGTGATATGTCGACATTAGTTATATGATATCTAACTATACTCTACCTCCATATTCTGTAATTTGCAGTCTAGAATCTTACAGTACTCTGGTTAATGCCGCTACCCGGTGATTCAATGACCCCAAGGTCGACCGGCTATATATAGTACAGTACTCCAAACATAGTCAATCCTATTTGTCTTTTTTGCTAGATCTCTGTTGATTGCCCGGTAATTATTGTACATTCCATATCCCAACTCCAAAGCCACAGAGAAAATGAAAGGTTCAGATTGAATTCGGAACCAGGACTTCAACAGGCACCCTGACCGTTTTCTGCGTATTGGACATCTCTACTCCACCAGCCACGCGCGCCTAGTAGGGCGCAAATCCACGTCCCCGACCCCTGTAACCACCCCGGTAGCCGCCACCACGAGGGAATCCACGACCACGGCCGCCGCGGAATCCGCCCCGGCCACGACCACGGTGCATGCCAGGTAGGTTAGTGCGCTTGGGAACGACCTGCTGGGGGTTAGTATTTTAATGTAGACAGCAAAGGGGATTTGAACGGACCTTCAAGTTGCGACCGCGGAAGACGCTCTCATTCAGAACTAAAGCCTGGGCAACGAGACTGGGCTCTGCAAACTCGACATAGGCGTAGCTAGACAGACGTTAGCATGGATCGAGCCATCTCCTCCATTCAATTCTCACCCTTTGGGCTGGCCAGAGAACTTGTCCAGCAAGATGGTCACCCGGTTGATCGAGCCACAGCTCTGGAAATGTGCCTGAATCTCCTCCGGCGAAGCACCGTAGTCCACATTGCCGACGAAGATGCTTCGTGCATCAATATCTTCTTTGTTCTCCTGGAGGTTCTCTGACTGCTGGTCGAGAGTAGCTTGCATCTCGCGCAACTTGGCAGCCTCGGACTCCATCTCGGCCACCCGACGCTTCATGGCTGCAATCTCTTCCTGTAAGATTCAATCATGTTAGCGGGGGTTCTGTAGATACTGCAGAAACGAAGAAACCAAAGTATGAGAGATGCGACAAAAGATCCAACAAAGGGCGGAATTGTTAGTCACACCTACCTCGTCATCTCCGCCTTCCTCCTGGGACGGAATCTGCTTCTCCTTGATTTCCTCCGGGATCTCCTGGCCTTCTGCAGCCATTTTGTCGGCAATTATTGTGGTGTTGGGAATAGCGAAGGGTTGAAAGCGCCGGGAATCCGATGAGGGGAGCAATCAGAGCTCTCCGACAGCCGGTCTAACTTCGCGTGGGTCCTGATGAACAGAGATACCAACCACAATAGCTGGGAAACACTTGTATTGGGTGGGAGACTGGAAAATAGCAGGTTGATCCTGTTGCAGAGGATCTATAGAGGAACAGAAGAGAAGTTGACCTTGGGATTGGACAATGCGAGGCTTCCTGGTTTCCACATTGGGTTTAGCGCCTTTTCCGGAGATCGGTGGGCGGTGGGGAATACTGCCAGTCAAGAGAAGAAGTTAAGATGGAGATGGAGATAGAGATGGAGTGGATGTGGGTATCATATATTTGACAGATTGCTAAATATGCATTCTTGTAGAATGGCAAGTGCAGGAGCAAGCAGCAGAGCAAACAGCAACTTGGTATCAAAAACTAAATACAAAACACCAGAGTATCTTCCGTTCAGCGTTAAATTCTATCATGTCTTGTATCCTTCCAAGGTGAAGATCCAAACTGAATATTAAATAACCAAATAACAGGCAAAGCTGGGGAAATGAATCGATTTAAGGTATCATGTATCAAATTGAAATGGAATGCAGAAAGCAAAGCAAGAACAAGATCGCTCGGAAACCAAGGAGACTATATACACAGGGAGAAAAGGGAGGGCGATTACTCGGCAGGAGGGTGGTTCTTGCGGAAGGAGACCTTCTCAACAGCCACATTTTCCACACCATTAGCATCGGTCTTTAGCTGATAGACATACAGCACAAGGACATCACCCTGGATCTGTTTGGAGTCAGCATATACCCATAAACCTCGAACGGCCGTAACTCACATCCATTAGACAGAAACTAGGCGTAGGTTCCTCGCCCTCTGGCCAGAAACCCGAGCTCATAGCACCTGTCGCGCTACCAGGGTTGATAAAGAAGCGGCCCTCCATCTCGAATGCCTCAAACCGATGAGTACCGCCCCAGAGTAGAACATCAACATCCATTTGACGAGCTGCGATTAACAACGCGTCGGCGTCGGCAGGTGGGACGATGGTGTGGCCGTGGGTGAACCCGATGCGTAGGCTGCCATGGTTGACAATCTTGGACAAGGGAAGGTTGGGAGAGTCGACATCGAAATCGCCCTTGACCATCTGCAGGTCCGGGGCTACCTCGCGGAGGAAGTCATAGGTCTCGCGGTCGGTCAGGTTACCGAGACAAAGAGTTTGGCCGATCTTGCCGGGGGTGAGGAGCTTGCGGAACTATGCGAGGTTAGAGAAATATCAAAGTGAGGCTCAAGGGATAGTACCTTTGCTGGGAGATCCTAGATGATGTTAGCAAAACGTACAGGAGCTGCGTCGGAGACAACCTACAGGAGCTCGGTCAGGGATGAACAGGTCACCAATGACCAGGACCAAGCGGGCGGTCATAATGTGGGGTAAACGGAGGTCAATGGTCCCACGGGAATAGTCCAGAAGAGAGAGCAACAGCTGTTGGCTGAAGCCTGCGAGTTTCGCGGGGAAGCCAACTACGCAATGCCCTAAGCCCTAGATTGTGGCCTAATGTGGTTAGTGGTATATGCTCCCTTTCAAGGCATTTCGATGTTGCGCATTGCATTGGCTGACCAGACCGAACAACTCGCCCGAGTGTGCTTCGGGTTGAGTCGCCCAATCCATATTCTTTCGAAGGTTTCCTAATTGTTTGCGGAGGTCGCCGTGTTGGCGTAGGACGGGACATACTGCGCAGTGTACAGACTGAGATCTGAGGGTAGTTGAATACGAGTGGGAGTAGGTAGATCTGAAGCTGTGGACATGTAACTTATACTCTACTTACAGTATTAAGCTACTAGATACCTGGTATGCCACTGTGTATCTGCTTGGACATATGTACATATACATAGGCAGATATAGGATATCAAGAACCAGCAACACACAATGGATATAAAACTGCATCAATTGCTTCGAATATAGCATATTCTATCAATCTACAACTTCCTTAGACCGATATAGACCAAAGTGTACAGCGTAAGTCGTGGACTGGTCAACCGGTAGGGTCCGCCCGGCCTTCGTTTCTCCGACGTCAAAACGCCCAGGGGGAAAAAAACACGGAGATACACTTGACGAACATCAATTCATAAATAGCCAGATATCGCCCTCCATCTCGGTCTCATCATCCGAGTAGACTAATCAGTGACCTCAAATCGGCACTTCACCCGGTCAAACCCTCAACTCGGCGGCGATCCCCGATCCTAAGTTTCCCTCGGGAATTCACCATCCAATCTCGTTGCGTTACCCCGCGGTCCGCAATCGGCATGGCCAACAAGTCGACGCAACGTTTAAGCTTGATCTCTAGACACCTGGACCGCTTACCATTGCCCGACCTCAATACTCCCTTCTCGACCGAGAGAGACTCCCTCGTCCCAGACGACATCGAATATAAACCCATCGACCGCTCCATTCCTCCTGCCCCTCTCCCCGAACCTACACCCAAGATGTCTGCTCAAGCCCCTCACAACACCCTCCTGATCCCGGGTCCCATCGAGTTCGACGATGCCGTGCTCCAGTCCATGTCCCACTATGCGTGAGTCACCCCAACTCACCCCAACTACAACCACATTGAACAGTCACTGACCCTCGCAGTGAGAGCCACGTCGCTCCCGGCTTTGTCAAGGTCTTTGGCGAGACCCTAACTCTCACTCGCAAGCTCTTCCAATCCACCAATCCCTCCGCACAGCCCTTCATCATCGCTGGTAGTGGCACCCTAGGCTGGGACCTGGTCTCCGCCAACCTGATCGAGCGCGGCGAGAACGCCCTGGTCCTCAACACCGGCTACTTCGGCGACTCCTTCGGCCAGTGTCTCGAGTGCTACGGCGCACAGGTCACCCACCTCAAGGCTCCCATCGGTGACCGCCCATCCCTGGAGGAGATCGAGCAGGCCCTCAAGCAGAAGCCATACAAGCTGATCACCCTCACACACGTTGATACCTCGACCGGCGTCCTCAGCGACGTCAAGGGTGTCGCCCAGCTCGTCCGCCGCGTCAGCCCAGAGACCCTCGTCATCGTCGATGGCGTGTGCAGTGTCGGCTCCGAGGAGATCGCCTTCGACGAGTGGGACCTCGACGCCGTAGTAACAGCCAGCCAAAAGGCCATCGGCTGCCCCCCGGGTTTAAGCATCGTCATGACCTCTGGCCGCGCGATCCAGCGCGCCCAGTCCCGCAAGACCCCACCAGGCTCCTACTACGCCGCTATCGCCAACTGGCTCCCCGTCATGCAGAACTACGAGAACAACAAGGCCTCGTACTTCGCCACCCCTCCCACCCAGCTCGTCCACGCCCTGCACACAACCCTCAGCCAGATCACGGCCGATGTCCCCGGCCGCTTCGCCATCCACGCCCAGGTCTCGGATAAGGTCAAGGCCGCCGCTGCCGCGCTCGGCCTTAAGCAGCTCGCTCCCCGTCCCGAGTGCCAGGCTCACGGTATGACTGCTATGTACCTACCCGAGGGTCTGGCTCCCGCAGATGTCCTGCCCGGTCTGCTTAAGCGTGGTGTCATTTTTGCAGCTGGTCTGCACAAGGAGATTGCTACCAAGTACATCCGTTTTGGTCACATGGGTGTCAGTGTTACTGACTCCAACCGGAAGGATGTGGACAAGGCCCTGGCTGCGCTGAAGGAGGCGCTTTCTGAGGCTAAGCAGGCTAAGGGTCTGTAGGTACTTGATTTTGTTGTAAATATGCCTTGTTGATTACCATGGTCTGGTGTACATCGGATACACTTGATAGAATACTGCAATGAATTATTGACCATAGACGTTATATTATGTCTTACATAGTTGGACTACAGTCCTAGAGATTGAAGAAGCAAAGGATGAATCCTAGCGTAGGCCTTATACCAAACTCCTCTCGAAAATGAACATCCCAAATCAAACAGCAAGACAACACAACTTACTTATCTACTCATTAAGTTAGTTAACGTTAACGTTACACCGTGCATCTACATGTACAGGATGGGTCGAAATTAGTTTCACCACTTTGCTTTCATGGAACGTTTCTCGAACCCTATTCCGAAACACGCAAATCCAGCTCAGACTTAGTAGCTCTGTTTCAGATACCGAATCGTATTGAAAGCCAAGGTCACGCGACTAAAGCTTCTATAAATTACGAGTAATACTCTTATAGAGAATACTGGTATCTCGAGTTTTGTGGTGCTCTAATATTCCGAACTAGCAAAGGTTGTTGCTGAGGTTGATGACTAACGCTTGTTTTGTTCAGCAGGCAGGTTCATGAGAATGTGTTCTACGGGCATGAATATTACTCATATGAAGGTTTAGGTTCAACTTCTAGAAGTGAGGCAACCTGTGCCCAGAATTACTTCGTAAATCGCTACCCAGAGGAACATGAGGCTGTTCAAAGCCAACAACATAATAATAGGTAATACTGCAAGAGGACCAATTAGAGCTTTATTAGGGTACTGTTGGATTTGTCACTTTTTTCAACAGTAGTTCAATAGCCATATAAAGGCCCCGAAATTTGATTTGAACACTCACGGACCCGAGTGAGTATCCACTAACCCAAACTCTGCCCAACAATCGATTGTAGGGTTATAGTGGTGGTCTCAAGGCCGTGATAATCGCTAGATCTATAGTCTGCAAGGGCCGCCAAATAAGTTTTTGGTATCGAATTTTTCTCGTATATCGGAGTTGCTTTCTTTGCAGAGCGACCTTTAGTACTGGTTCGATATCTCCTAGAACTAAGCAGCTATTACTTGTGGGAACGTTCTTGGGAAGGAAGCGACTCACAATTGAAGTTGAAGCCGGCCTTGTAACGGAGTCCTGATCTCACTAGAATGAGAGGTGAGGGGGTATCGGGAAGAGAAAGGAAGAGAGAGAGAGGTGGACGGCGCATGCTACGCATTCTCTGCATTCCATTTGTACTGAGAGTCATTGTTCAGATATATGGGTATTTGTACTTGCTATATTGGACTGACCTTTGGCATCTTGATGCTCTCGTCGCACATCAGCCTCTGATTCTGTAGATGAGAGCATGACCAGAGGTACGGATTACGGGCTCTTGTTTCATTTGGAAAAAAAGAGTATTGTGATTTAACCTAGGCTCCAAAGGTTTAACAGAAACGTGATTAATTGGTTGATTGACCTTAGAGAGGCGGGCGGAGGGTCCAGTTGTACCTACGGCGAGGGTCACAGCCGTTACTCTGCATTAACCGGGCTCATAACTGTCGGAACAGGGTCAGTACAATACAAACTAGTATGGGCTTAGTCCAATTAAATACTTAAATGTGAAACATTGAATACTATATAGAACACAAGATAAACGAGAGTCGGGCTTAATGTAATAAGGCTTTAAGGTGCCTTAGGAAAATCTAATAGCCTTATGAATATGGAACAAATCAGGCATTCAGGAACGTTGAAAATTCCTCGGGTGCGTCAGTAAGATCCTGACCCCTTTTTCGTCGACATTGTTTTTTTCAAACATGTTTACGGTCAATTACTGCAGACTTGTAAAGCGCAATCTCTGGTGGCTAGATGGCGCTCAAGCTCCTTAGGAACGGTTGACGAAGTTGGTGAGAGCAGCGTGAGTGGCGTAAAACTCACTCTTGGGCTTGTAGCACTGGTCGAACATCAATGGCTTTGCGCCCTGCACCCAGGTGTAAGCGTGCTTATCCGTAAAGCCCCAGAAGCTAATGTCGGTGATTCCTGCGTCGAGAGCCTCGCTGACGACGGCGCCGTAAATATCAGTCTCGACCGCGTTGTCGAGCGTGTGAACATCCAGCTCAGCGATTGCCACCTCCAATCCGAGCGCCTTGTAGGAGTTGACCATCTCCGTGATCACGCCCGGTTTCGGGGCTACTTCAGTGATGTGCATCTGCAGGGCGATTCCATCAATTGGGACGCCCTTTGCCACGAAACTGGAGACCAGGTTGTAGAGTTCCTGGCGCTTGCCGGGAAGTGACTCGACGAGATTTTCGTTGATGAATAGCTTGGCGTCTGGGGCTGCTGCTCGGGCGATGCGGAAGGCATCTGCAATGTAGCCGGGTCCGAGAACTTGATAGAAGTTATTGTTATTTAGGCCGCCTCCCTGAGTTTTTAGGGCTTCGGTGACGACGTCCCACCGATCTATCTTGCCGTCGTATCGATGCATGATCGCCTCAAAGTGAGTCTTCATCGCAGTATGAAAGGCCGTAGGGTGAGTGATGTTGAGCAGGAAGTCAGGGTTACAGCAGCTCGAGATGAGCCCGTGTCCCTTGACCACCATGTTGTTGTCTTCCGCGAAGTTCACGAGGCGGTCGATCGTATCCCAGTTGTAGTGCCCTTTGGTCGGGTTGATAAACGACCATTTCATCTCATTTTCGGGAGAGAGGCTGTTGAATTGATTGGCAAGGACAGCCGCGAACTCCGGATCATTGAGATACATCGGATTGATCGCTCCAGACCCGATAAGAATATCCTTCTTGCTTGCCTCGTTCCTCAGCGATGTGGTACCAGTGCTCGGAAACGCGTTGACTCCTTCAGCAGCAACGATGAGCGCGGCGATGATTGTTGTGGCAAAGGTCTTCATGATTAGGTCTGGCGATGTATTCTCTGTCTGTTTGGTACTCAACTGTTTGTGAATTGTCAAGACTGTCGTGGCAGATCCAACGGCTTTATAGCTGGGAAAATGTTGACCAGGCAATGACATAACGCCGGGACACATCGTGGGCTGATGCCTACTGCGGTGTCAGGGCAGGGTACGAACACGCTAGTTCTATACGTAAACGAGTTCGTCCCTGGTTTAAGGAACCACTTAGCTCCAACGCCCAGTGCATACAATAGCTGAAGAAGCGCGGCAGTGCGGGAGCCGCCTAAGCCGATGCCGAAAACGCATACGATTCCAGGATCTATGGGCAGAACCACTCGCTATTGATACGAGGTGAAACCGACTAGGGATTGTTCTTATTCGTGAATCTTCTAGGTTAGTTGTAGATCAACTTAACTATCGCACCACTAACCACCTGTTTCCCCTATATTACCTATGAATTAGCCCACTTTTCATGCAAATTAGGGAACTCTAACGCAAAAGAGATAATACTATTGATGACCCGTTCCGTAGCCGGTGGCGGTGGATCGCCGAGGTAATTAAACGAACAGATCGCTTTTGAGGTTGCCTAGATTCGCCACTGGTTTCCAAATATCAAACGCAAAAGATTTCCTCGCAATTGGTCCATAAAAACTTCGTTGAACGTATACGAATACGCCCCACTTTGGGGGTTAAGCTTAAACTCAGGCTGGAATTCAACCAACCAAATACGTGAAGAAGCCGGGCCGTATTCGTTTATTGGAAGTGGATCAAAGTCCAATTCTAATTCAATGCGTCCAGTCTGCCTCGTTTTTACACTCCGTCATATTTGTTGGTTCTCAGGATTTCATCTTGTTCACTTAGTCCATCTACGACAGACGCCGCCGCCTTAGCGAATATGGCTAGCAATAGCCGTTCGGAATGTGTTTTCGAGTTACCTGGTGAACCTATCATGGAGGCATCTACCACTAGTCCCCCGACTACTGGTGTGAGTGGTATAAATTTGAATGGTATGATTACTTCTTTTTTAAAACTTTTTTTTTTTTTCGCCGTGAGGGTATCTTGATGCTGGACTTGACGTTCGATTTATTAATATATGACCTGCGAGAAATAGATGCCGGCCGCGTTGATATCGACTGGGACTCAAAGGTCGTACGAAGTCTTTCGAAGCTCTACAAAGGTCCTTTCTTGAGAGCTCCTACCCCGCCGCCTGAATACTCTGAACTACCGACGCAAGATGCCGAGTCTACGACAGTTAGACCCGATCGCACGTCGGGACACATCGAGCCAAGTCGGCAACCTGCAAAAGGTTGGGTCGTCAAATTGAACATTGTGATCCAAGTAGTGGGAAGTCGGGGTGACGTTCAACCTTTCATTGCTCTCGGAAATGAACTTAAGCGATATGATCATCGCGTGCGTCTAGCCACACATGATATGTTTGAAAGTTTCGTCAGGGAATCGGGGTTGGAGTTTTACCCAATTGGAGGCGATCCAAGAGAGCTGATGGCATACATGGTCAAGACCCCGGGGCTCATCCCAAGCATGGAGAGTTTACGAGCAGGCGAGATTCGTCGCAAGCGCATCATGATACGGGAAATGCTGGACGGGTGTTGGGAATCATGTATCAAGCCGGATTTGGTAACAGGCCACCCATTCGTGGCGGATGCTATAATTGCCAACCCACCGAGCTTTGCACATGTCCACTGTGCTCAAGCTCTCAGCGTCCCGGTACATCTGATGTTCACCATGCCTTGGAGCAGTACCAAGTCTTTTCCACATCCCCTGGCCAACTTCAAGGCCGACGGTCCAGACCAAGGGTTCAAAAATTATGCCTCGTATGATCTTGTCAACTGGCTTACATGGCAAGGGTATGGTTCCATTTGAAACCGAACACGTGTACACCGTACTAATCCATTCTATCAGGGTTGGGGATGTAGTCAATCGATGGCGGAAAGAGCTTGATCTAGACGAAGTGGCCACGTTTGAAGGTCCTCATCTTGCTGAAATACTGAAAGTCCCCTTCACATATTGTTGGTCTCCGGCTCTTGTACCCAAACCGTCGGATTGGCCGTCTTATATAGGTCAGTGCCTCACGAAGGAGTTCTCTAGTTATCGATAGACCCGGCTGACATGATACGTAGACGTCTGCGGCTTCTTCTTCCGTGACGCCCCAACATACGACCCTCCAACGGATCTTCAGGTCTTCCTATCGTCTGGTCCACCGCCGATATATATTGGCTTTGGGAGTATTGTGCTTGAGGATCCGATCAGGATCAATGCAGCCATTCTTGATGCGGTCAATGCTGCTGGTGTGAGGGTTATCATTTCTAAGGGTTGGTCGAATTTGGGCGGAAAACAGAGCGAGAACGTATATTTTATCGGAGATTGCCCTCATGAGTGGCTGTTCCAACACGTGGCGGCGGTGGTACATCATGGAGGCGCTGGCACAACGGCTTGTGGCTTGCGGAATGCAAGACCTACAATTATTGTCCCGTTCTTCGGAGAGTGAGTGACTCGACCCCTAATGGTATTTCAAACGACCTCGAGACTTACTTTTTAGTCAACCGTTCTGGGGTGCTATGGTGGCTGCAGCGGGCGCTGGTCCTGCCCCCATCCCTCACCAAGAGCTAAATGCTGATATCTTAGCTGAAGGAATTCGATATTGCTTCACGGACCAAGCGATCACTGCAGCCTCTGCAATTGCGGTCAAAATGGCTTCTGAAACAGGAGTCCAAGCAGCCGTCTCTTCCTTCCATTCACATCTTCCCTTAGAGCGCCTCTCCTGTGATATATGTCCAGGGGCACCAGCAGTGTGGTCTTATTCCACACGCGATATCAACGTAAAACTGTCAAAGGTCGCGGCAGCAACGCTAGTCGCACAAAAGTTAATTAATCCAAAACGACTAAAATTGTACGTGAAGCTTCTGGTCCCATGGAGCTACGAAACTAACCAATATTCAGACATGCAATCAAGCCCGTTGTGATCGAGAATCGTCGATGGGACCCTATCACAGGTGGAGCTTCTGCCGTTATGGGAACCACGACAGAACTCCTTGATTCCGTCTTGGGGTTGTTCTACAAACCCATTGAGGAATATAAAGACTACCAAGTAAGCCACAGGGATCGGCCCTTGACGAGTGCCTCGAGTCAAGCTGTACATCGGCCTACAAGCAGCTCTACCGGAAAGCGCTCCCTACAGACACAAGAGGGAGCTGACGATACAAAAAGTATGGTTTCCATAGGAGATAAATCGTCAGCCTCCAAATATAATAGTGCTAGGCTTGCAGGGAGGATGGTCGGAGCTTCAGTGAAAAGTATTGCCAATTTTGCGCCGACTGCGCTGAAAGGCATGACTGTCGACATCCCACTCGCCATGACGGAGGGAATGCGCAACGTCCCTCGATTATATGGCGAAAAGCCACAGCACGACGGTTCCGTTACTGGCATCAAAAGCGGATTCGCTCTTGGCGGCACAGGTTTCGCTCTGGGGATGGTGGAGGCAGTGAGCGATTTGGTCGTGAAGCCGTACGAAGGCATCCGAAAGGATGGTGCAAAGGGCGCTTTGACGGGCATTGGCAAGGGCGTGGCAAATATGACCACTAAAGCGGGTTGCGCTATGTTTGGTGTTGTGGTATACCCTGGTGTTGGTATTGCGAAGAGCCTAAAATCGGCTGTCTACTTCAGGACAAAAACGAGCATAGTCAAGGCACGTCTCGCCGAGGGCGCATGGTTGTCGGAGCAATGTACACATGCGGACGTTGATAGCTACACTGCCAGCTACCAAAGGATGCTAAAGGGCAAGAACAGCTGATTTATTACAAGAAAATTTGCAGGAACGGCAATATAAAATACATATTGGGCCCTTTTAATGGCAACCAAGCGGTGTAATACAGCAGAAATATCATTATAGGATACAAGAGTTGTTGCTATGGCAAGTCTAGTGTATGCGTTTCCAGCCTAGCAACTACCTTTTTTTGAGGTCCCCAGCTATGAGATGGGCAGCAATGTGGGCCAAGGTGGCATGAGGAGGACGGGCAACGCATCAGGTTGTAAACACTCCGCCAAACTGATTCTTGCCCAGATGCGTTTTCTTCGGTGTCTAATTGAGCGTCTCGCTCGTTAAGCGTTCGTTTGGTGACCGATGAGCTTCCTCTTTTTTCGATCCTACCCGAGGCAGTTTTGGAGAGACGGTCGTCCTTAACATATTTAAAGGTAATACTTAACCTTAACTTCTTACCTCGACGGTAAAGTTCGCCCCACCTAAGCAGCTTGTTTTCCATAGCAGTCCAATTGATATCGAGATGATCATATCGTTTTATTAAGTCGCGCTAGGAGCGATCATTTACCGACATAACGATCGAGGTGTCGTCCGCCTTTACCCTTCTTTTACCGGGGGTCTTTCCTTCTACTAACTTCTCTAATTTACCCTTTAGGGTCTAGTATACACTCGGAGTCTGGCTACGTCCTCTTCTATATCTTATAAAAGGACTTGTTTATTCACCGTGGCTTTCCACTCTATCGTATACTAGATGCAGCTTACCGGAAGCTCGATACCTAACATTCTGTTATGCCATTCGGACGGTTAAAGTAGTCGAGGAGTTTGAGACTGCTATCGTGAAAGGACTTCTAGGCCGTTCTCGGAGTGATAGTCGGGGGAAGGGCTAATAGGCGTACGACCGTAGTATCCTAGAGTTAGGGCATATTGCGAATATTAACCTTCAAGGTTATATAGCTGAACGTCACCGTCATTAGGATACGAACTCGTAGTCATCGTCCTCGTTTCAAGTCTCTAACTGATCCAACGTTAGTATGATCACGACCGGTCAGTTTAGCAGATGCTAGTCCCTTATCATAAGGCCTAGCCCGTTACAAGAAGAAAAGAAGCATTACCCACTAGTACTATCTCTAAACGGCTCGCTCGTTCGCGGGTACTCTAAAGAGCAAGTGGTAGACAGAATAGGGACTCGGGTTTCTGCCACGTCTCTAAACGAGCAGACATCCTTCTGTTTAGCTTGTCTGCTACGTCAACATTCTAGAACCCCTAGGGACCGTACAAGTGTAATACAAAAGCTATTTTTAAGCTGTAGTTTACGGCTGTACTGCCCTAAAACGAACGAAGTGAGTGTAAGGGTTCTAATCAACGTGGATGTACGTGCGCGACACCAGAAAAAAGGAGAGCCTTAACTACGTACGGACCGTACGACCACGCGCGCTTCTCGTTCGTTCTTTGCCTTTCCCTTTTAGGTCTGGTGTATCAGGGTTTTAGGGTTCGCCATGTATATCTGCATGGAATCTGCATGTTGTCCATTTCTGATTGATTCGGTTCCATTTCTTTGAGTCTATTTTACTGGTACGCTCAGGGTTGTATTGCCACTGGCACATTTATCTCCGGTTCGCTTTGACATATGTGTCTCTTTTTTGCTATATCACTATGTTGACGCATCGCACTTGTGTACTTACGGCCGTAGTATTCGTCTGTCTACTACTATTCAGCCCTTGTCGTGCCTCGCCTGCCGCCGTGTAGAGTTATTCCGCAGACGAAGCTAAGGCCTTGCCACATGCCAACACTCCCACTCCAGAGAGGCGCTCTTAAAGGCCAAGAAAAACTTCATATTCTGATATACTCGCGCAATCGAAAAATAATAACTAAGAGCAAGTTTAGCAGATTGCTTACAGTAGTTTTCAAATTCAGCTGACCTCACACTCTTCAGACTTGATTCCCGGAAAATAAATCCGGGATACGCTGATACTGTTTAGGGTCACCGCTCTATAAGTTGGGCAGAACTACGGTAGTAATAACTATACCACACCCAGGACGTACTGTATTGAATCTGTAATGATACATCGAGTCCCCTAGAACGGCTTGTAGATCTGGCGATCTGGCAAGATTTTCCGCCTTCCCACCAGTCCGAGGTTGCTACTTCCCCTCATTCTTCCCACATGCAGCATAGCCTACGCTGTATGCACAGTAGGGCTAATCCTGGTAAGATAGGATAACTTTATCTCCATGGATTTTGTCATCTGCGGCGAGTCTCATTCGTTGCCAGTCTCGAATCTGACATGGCTCACCCCGCAAGCTCGAGTCTCCAAGGTTGCTGATTACTTTTTGTAATGAGCCCGTATCACGTCGATCATGTATCTCAATCTATTGAACACGAGACATGGGAATTACAACCCTGATTACGTGCCAACCCCTGGGTACTGTGTTAGCCCCTATGCCGGGCTGTCTGCCTTGAGGCCATCTCTGTCCTGTGTACTCGAGATAGCATCGACCTCAAGAGTAAACGTGGCCCACATCTTCTCTGATTCTTTCCGTTACACGAGTGGGAAGAGGGAAGGGCATATGATGAGGACCCGCCAGCCTGTATCCACTACTGTATAGAGTGGCGAGGGACAGTTAATAATCGGGCAGTGTCGACGGACACTGAGGAAGATGTCCTCTTGGCTCCTAGTGCCTTCTATTGGGAGAAAAGCTAGAGCAAGCTCGATGAACGACCGCCCGCGACCACCTGGTGATACGCGATGATACTGTTATCATCGCATCAACAAAGGATCGCACTAAACGCAAACTGACGAAACGATTTGACCACACCGATATTACTTGGTCTGCTATTAAGAAAGAGCTTCTGATATAGGGCGATCTTTTCTCTAAGGGTAAGGAACTTACGCTGAAGATAGGTTTTAACTACGTAGACCATCATTATTCTTCTCAATCCACTGACCGGAAAGGGGAGAAAAGAGGGGAACCTCCGTAGGATGCTCTGTGAGCGAGACGCACAGCTTGATGCGGAGGAACATGCTTCGGGCGAGAAGCCGACCTGGCGCAGCGTCTCAATTCGGTGCAATGCGACTCATCGACATGTCCACATGGCCCTCATGTTGGAGGGACCCAATGGGGGAAAATTATCTACTTAGATCTCATCACATAAAACGCCTTATAACCCACGTTGAAAAAGGCGGGGTTCTGGAGGGTCATAAGGACGTGCCAGAAGCGGTACGCGACGAATTATACAGTAAGAACAAGAGAGACAGGAGAGACTGGGGAAAGACAAGCGCAAAGGAGGTCATGTCATTGGGACTGGAGTACCTTATCCTCCTTGCAATATCATCAATGTCCTTCCCTCTCAGTCTGCTGCCCAATGGCTCTTGAACCGACGGCCGTGAGTTCATTGGAAGTTCCTGGCCCTAGAGACGTAGCCGTGAAGGAGTTCGGTGAGTGGCAATGTCGAATGTCGAAAATCGCACACTCACATCCGCATTTCGACAAGTATGTGATGTGATTCTCGACAATGGTCTCGACATTGAGCAGGTCTACAAGGACGAAGACCTAAAATTCTTCATTGAGAAAGGGATGAAAATAGGTATCGCTCGACGTTTCGTCGAAGACATCGGAAAGTGGTCTGAGCATGTCATGAAAGCGATTCCCATATATGAAATACTTTAGACTGGACGGGCCTTGTTTTATCATTACAAGATCTCTGAATCCAATCTTACCTTACTCTTATGACTTGACAAAATAACTCCCGAATGCGCTAGTCCCAGTTCAGGTCGCCGTCTGTAAGGTGCGCAGATCTGTGATGGTGATTGCCGTACTGCAAGCCCAGAGTCATTGTCATAATACCGTAATGTGACAGGGCATCACGTCTCCGCGAATCTTTCGGTAGAGTCGCGGTCAAGAGGTCTTCTCTGCATCGGCGGCGGATGCGAATGTTCCTAGTCCGGCCCTCTCCCCCCTCAACCATATTTATCAAAGTACGTCTTATCCACCTCAGTCTCTACTCGTTCTGTCAAACAAGCAAAATCCTCAAACACAGAGAAAATGGAATTCTACGAAAAGGCCACTCCGGTAATCCCCCGTCCAAAACCAATGAAGGTCCTTGTCCTATCACTCCCACGAACAGGAACAACATGTACACCCGGGCCCAGCATCCGTCATGATCTTCTCACTGAGCTAACCTTGATCAGCCATATGTGCAGCTCTCAGGCAACTGGGGCTAAACCCCTACCATTTCAGCGAAGCCTCCAAGAACAAGAACAACGAGCACTTCCAGCTCTGGCTTCAAGCCGTGCGGGCCAAGTATGATGGGATCGGGACCTGTTTTCGGAAGGAGGACTTTGATCGGATTCTTTGGAACTATGATGTATTGCCCTTGATTCTATCCTCCGGTGTACGGTGGCATATATAATATCGTGGAGATAGCTAACCACGAGGAAGGCTCTCTCTGACGACCCCTGCTGCCTTTTTATTGATGAGCTACTCTCCGCCTATCCGGATGCAAAAGTGATCCTGACAATCCGCGACCGCACCGCCTGGCTGCATTCTATGCAGAGATTCATCCTGGAGATTCTTTCCTGGCGGTCGATGCGTCTCCTCTCGTACCTTGATCCCGAGTTCACGGGTCCGTATCAGGCATTGCTCAACCGGACGACTACTGTTTTATCCCAGGGTCGTCCGCCCTGCGCTCCGTCCTCTGTTCCGGCATTACTGGCGTCGTTTGATTCGCATTATGAGCGTGTGCGGACTGCTGTCCCGGCAGATCGGCTGCTGGAGTTTCATCCCGGAAAGGGGTGGGAGCCGCTGTGTGAGTTTCTAGGCGTGAAGGTGCCGGAGGAGGCGTTTCCGCATCTGAATTCAGGATCGGAGGCCATGAAACTTGAGGTTGAACTTTATTGGGATAGGTGGGCTGCTGTTGGAAGACGGTTCGGCAAGCGGCTAATTTTTTCCCTGGGATTTTGGGGTTTGTTGGTATGTTTGGGAGTAGGGGGAAGTGGTTCAAGTCACAAGTCGTGAATGATCATGTTACTGTGTGGTAATGTTGATAGGAACGCTGTGGTGGTGGGCAATTTGGGACGGGATCTATGCGATAGGATTTTGATGTGATACAGGGCTGATGCAGCTCGGGAACAAAGCCAGACCAGCGGAAAGAACTCCTGGAGTGTCTTATACGAAGAACCAGTTGAGTTCAAATCAATTGAACTTTATGCTATATATCTAGCCTCATGCTTTCCCTTTGAAGTTGAAACTCTTTATTATTCCACTTAACTACAGTACCACAGTAATCAATATGATACGAGCTCATGTTACGAATCAATCACAATTCCAAGGAATTTCATGTTATTTTGATGGGTTATGGAAAGGCCGCATGGTCCTTCTCTACATTTTCAAACGCTCTTTTAGCATTAGCCACACACCGTTTGGAATCGCCAACGTCAGCATCTCAATGTCTTCCAATCGAGATAGCTCGCTTCATCTTCGTGTCATGCAAAAGGCGAATCAACTAGGTTTATCGCCTCACTAAATCAACTGTTGCGCAATGAAATGAGCCTCCAATACTGTTAACATGTTGAAAAGGACAGGGTATGCACGTCATTCCCAGCGACTCAAACCATTGACGACTTTTCAAGTCATTAGCCTCGACCACCATCTTCTGGCCATCCAACACTAACGCGTTCAGACAGAGCCATGGACTGGTCATATAAAGCGGGGGGGACACTCGGTTTTCTGGTGTGAAGGGGTAAGGCCGGAGCTCCCAATCAGCCAGCACCATATGCTTCCTCAGGGCCTGCTCGGTGACCTTTTTCGGGTTGTAGACAAGGAGGCCCTGGCGAAGAGGGAGAATTGTTGCGTCGATGTGCATGGCATTTGGATCATTCACCTCAATCATTTCAACCTTGTACCCTTTAGGGAGGTTTTTGATGACCCAATCCACACCCGCTTGATTCGTAACATGGCTAAGCTGGCCAATGATTGTGGTGCCGAACCTCATAAAGTCTGCTGTGTCGAATGCTGGACGACTGTTGTTGATTACCCATTGGCCATTTATGGTGGCGTCATCATCAAACAAGGTGTTTGCAAAAGTGTCTCTTGGGCGGCGAACAATTTTTACTCGAGGATCAAGAGCCAATTGATGGAGTATGGGAGTGAATCCAATCTCGATCTCCTTCGACCGCGAAGGCCACGCAAAGCAAGCTTCGATCAGAGTGTTGCCGACACTCATGAGGCCATCTCGCGGCATGGCTCCAGTGTATCCATCTTCTGCCAGCCAGTCGATGTCCTTTGGCGGTCGGTAAACTTTGATACCGTTCTCTTCAAGAATCGAAGTGAACATGTCAAGTTCCGCTTCGGCTTTAGCAATGAGTTTTGGTGGAAACATAGTCTTGGGTTTGAAGTTGCTGATATGTTCTGAGGGCATTGTCGCTTCAATCATTTTGGCTGGGGCGCTCGGGAAGCATGCAATGCCAGCCCGGCCAACGATCACGGATTGCAAAGGAGACCACTCATTATCAGCGTGTACAGATGGTAGCGAAGAACCCGCCATGTCATGCTTAGACGCCGGAAGGGGTTGCGAGCTTTTGGGAGTAAAATTAGATAGTTGATACTGTATGTATCTCTCAATCTCTTCTCAGATGGTCGTATCTAGACACAGTCGTGACCAACTACACCGCCCCTTGTGAACCCCCTCTCAAAAGTGGAGTCGAACCCACTAAGTGGGTGGAACCTCCAGAGTTGTTTTTGAACTGCATTAGAATGTTTTGCTCAAATGTTTGCGTGGTAGAGTCTCCGCTCGGCGGGTGATGAAGCACAATCAATCATCTTCTAAGACCCCTACAATCCGATGGAGCATTGTACCAACTTTCCACTTTGATACATGTTGAGGGGGGATAGGGCCGGACTAGGAACATTCGCATCCGTCCCCGATGCAGAGAGGACCTGTTGACCGCTACCCTACCGAAAGATTCGCGGATATGTGATACCCTGCAACATTTAAGGTATTATCACGATGACTCCGGCCTTGCAGAACGGAAATCATCATCCTGATTGTCGCGAAAGGAGAGGGGTACGGAGGTAGCCCGTGTGTATGCTAGTTTCGTGTAAAATACATAGACTATTATAGGAAGCGGTCTAGATTCGAACGCTTAGAATAATATCCAATCAGAACTCGCATATTTAGGATTTATTTTCCGAGAATCAAGTCAAAAGAGTGAGAGGTCATACTGAATTCGAAAACTACTGTACTCGCTTTCATAGATTGGATTTCTTAGTCACCTTATCCTTCCTCTCCTTGGTCGATCCTAACTATAATGCAACTTAAAGATCAATCCACTTAGTATATGTTTCTTTTCACCCTAGCCTTCTTTCCTTTTTAATTCTTCGTTTCAGGGCCGATGCGCGCCCCGCGCGCATCTTCCAGTGCCCTGAAACGAACGAAGTGAGAGTAAGGGTTCTAATCAACGTGGATGTACGTGTGCGAGACTCGAAAAAAGAAGAGGCTTAACTATATACGGTTCGTTCCGCCACGCACCCTCGTGATTCGTTCCTTCGATTTCCTTTTTGAGTCTGGTGTATCAGGGCTTTAGGGTTCGCCATCTATATCTGCATTGTATCTGCATGCTGTCCCATTTTGATTGCTTCGCTTCCGTTTCTTGGTGTATCTTTTAATCGTACGCTCTGCGCCATACTGCCACCAGCGCGTTTATCTACGGTCCACTTTGAGATATCTTGTGTCTCTTTGGTGCTGCATCGCTATGTTGAGGCATCGCTCTTGTCACCCCCTGACCACAGCCTCACCCCACATATCGCGTGATGGGTACTGTCAAGGAGGGCTGTGGGTAGCCTGTACCAGCAGATCAACGCGCAGGGGCTGGGACATAATGATATCTTCCGCGTTGTGAAGGAGGCGCATAAACAGTAATCTCTGCACTTGGTAGACATGATACAGCTTGATCGATACTAGAAATTAGTCCTTCATTGTTCTACCTAACCTTCGGTCTTAGCATAATTCAAAGACTTATTTCCCATCAACAACATCCTGAATAACCTTCTGCAGACCTTCCTTGTCGAGTTCCTTAATTCCAAGCAACTCATTATCCGTGGTGGTAAAATGTCCCCCATTCTCCTTCCCCCAAACAGCCCTATAAATAAACGGCAAGATAGTCTCGTGCGAAAATACCCCCTGTTTAATCTTCACAAGCGCCTTCTCAGCCTCCTTAGCTGTATCAGGCTTTGTAATCGTCCACTCCTCACCCCCCACAATGTCCTGCGACAGGGCTAGAAGCTCCTTGATTGTCGTAACGGCCTCTCCAACCCTCACGACCCGATTCTTCGTCTCCTCGGGATGACTCAGAATACCCACAACGGCCTTCCCCACACCCGCCAGGGTGGTTGTGGTATATAACCTCTCCCCGCCATCATGCAACACAGCAGTCTTCTTCCGCAGGTTAACGGGAAACCCAAACTGGAGTCCCCAGTCCAGGAACATCCCGTTATACACGACCGTGTAGGTAATCTTCCCCTCCGCAGCCAGGGAGCTTAGCAACTCCTGCACTTTGATTTTATCGGCATACACTGGTGCCGCCCGGTTGAGCGGGTTATGCAGATCTGACCCAAACTCCGAGGGGAGGAAGCGCTTAACCCCGGCAGCGACAGCGGCGTGGATAAGGTTTGTTTGGGCGGTCGCGGAGGTGGGCGGGATTGTTGAGACGATGGCGTCTTGGCCGTTGAGATTCTTGGTTAGGTCGTCGACGGAGTCATAATTTACTTCGACGGTTTTGACGCCGGAGGGCACCGTGGGCGAGGAGCCGGGCCGGGTGAAGACAGTCACGTTGATGGATGGGGAGGAGGAGACGGCGGACAGGATGGCCGGGCCGAGGTTGCCGCTTACCTGGTTTTGTTAATAAATATATAAATAATTGTAGAAGGGGAAGACACGTACGCCTGCAAGGACGATGTTCCGGAGGGCCATGGTGAATTAGAGTGAAGTATATGATGAAGTGTGCTGGAGTCTCAATGGTGTGAAGAGTGATTCTACAAGGTGGTCGACACACACCTTTATATACCTTCCACATTCCAAGAATAGCGCTACAGGCCTGGGGGATTCCATCATCGCTGACATACGTGCACCCAAATTCTGGGTAATCACGAACATCCCCCCGGCTTCAGACTTCGGACATCCCACTCGGCATCTCGGGTGGTCTTGACTTGGACCCACTCTGGTCCTGATTAGTCAGTGAGACAGAATATTTTATTGGACAATCAGGGAGATGTCGTTCTGATGGTTTCCATCCCACTCGGCTCATCCACTGGTCCACCTCTATCATTTGGAAGATCGAGTTAGACTTCGATGCCATGGACACTATGATTGCGTGTGACCATACTGGATGCACGGCACAGTATCGGCGGAAAGAGCACTTGAATCGCCACGCGCGAAAACACTATCCCGCCACACAACTAACGTGTGAAGACTGCGGTAAAACGTTCGATCGGTCGGATACGCTTCGTCGACACCGTCAGTTACATCTCAGGGATGGGCAGGAAAGGATGCCTCGGGCTGCGAAGGCCTGTGATTGGTGTCACGCTAGCAAAACACGTTGTGATGGGAAGGAGCCTTGTAATGTCTGTTCCCGGCGGGGCTTACGGTGTACTTTCAGCCGATGGCCGAAGCAGGCGCTTGTAGGTGACGCTGCTACGTCAAGGCTTATGAGCGAGCCCGAAGTTCAAACCTCACGTACATCTGTCGACTACCAGGAGCATGAAAGGTCTGAAAGGTCTGAAAGACCACTTATCCCTGGGGCCAGCAAGGAAGTCCAAACTCTGCTTCTGCAACATGAGAACTATCTCCGCGAAACCACGCTGCTTACTCGAACGGAGAGAAATGGCGAAGGCGATCAAGGGCAGCTGGATATCGACTACCATGTTGAGATATACTTCGCGCATTTTCATTCTCAATGGCCGATCATTCACAAGCCCTCCTTCCACCTAAGTAAAGACTCGCAACCACATGTTCTGATCTTAAGCTTTGCTATGATCGGGCTATGGGTTACTGGCGGGAGGGCTGCGCGGACAAGAGCGAAGAATATGCATGAGAAATTAGTGACATTGTTAGAGAGTCGCATGGTGAGCTCCCTGAATCTTTCTCGGTCCATCGGCCTTCGTAACTATTCTCACATGCGCAGGGAGACTGGAAGTCGCAGAAAGACTTCAAGGATACATCATGGCCGATGTCGACATTCCAAGCCGTCCTTCTGAACGTGATATTCGCACCGATGAGAGAGGCCCCTCCAGATCTGCAGAACCGTTGCTCATCGATAGTCCGCGCACTAACGACAACTTGTATCGCCGGTGGCTTATTCTGCTACGGCCGCATCCGTGCACAGCTGACGCCAAATAAATCGCTACTATTCTCGTGGACATAGGTAGAAGAGACTAATCGACTAGCGCTAGCTCTGTTCAAAGCGAACCTTCTCTATAACACAGGGATGCTAAGCATCTCCGACCTTAGAATCCCTCTTCTAGACGGTGGATACTTGTGGGATACGCCGGGGAGCAGGGAGGTTTATCGTCGGTACCACGCATAGGTAGAATCTGGGACCTACGAGACGCCTTTAATATGCAACATTTTTCGTGATATTTAAAGGGCGGACAGGGTTTAGGTTTGCTATTGCAGACGGATAGTTGGTTAGGGTTCCTTGCGTCGGAGCAGGAGCGATCTGGTGGTGGATAAGTATAGAATACAATAGAAAGTGCCCCAGTATACATTACTCATTAGAATTAGAGTTCTTAGACAGACTTACTACCAAGAAGAACCTCTTACACATTGATTCTGAGCGTGACAGTTCTTAGTTAGTTCAAAAACGTGTATTCCCTTCCTATCCCACACCGGTTCCAGGAATCTCCTAAAATAATTGCACCTAGTGGTCACGATGAGGAGGCCACGCAAATTACGTGGCCAGATACTGCCAACGAAGCGAAAATCTCGCCACAGGCTACCACATCACCTGCAGAGAGGCGTTCTCAAAGACCAAAGACCACGAAAAACATCATACGCCGATATACTTGCATAGTCAAAATACGATAGTTGACTAACATATCTAGTTTCCCTTATTTTCCAAGATGTAGCGGTTATTAGTCAGATGATTTCTACCTTCTCATTGGTCAATGTTCCCTTGTCTTCCAAGTACCAGTCAAGCAAAC